ATCATCCTTCTGGACAAACTATCAGCATAAACTTCAGACAGAAGTAAATATTCGAATTCTTTCACATATGACTGGCAGGCTAGCCTGACAGAAAAGCTGTCCTGTCAACTCAATCGAGAGGATGAAATTCCACGAAAATCATCTACCTGAGCCATAAATCTCTTATTCTAGTGTATGTTTCCTGTCAGCTTTCAATTGCGAATTACTTTCATCGTAATCTTAAGCGAATTATTTGTTTTCATGTGACATATATGCATTCAGTATATATCACTATTTTGCTATTATTAACTCCATCATATGGATAAGTTTGAGTCGGTAACTGTGATCATATTGTGTCTAGTGAGGAAACCTTTGAAAAAGAATCTATGTTGTTGTAGGGCCAGTGAAATGTCACTGAGCCCTAACCATTATATCCGGCAGTTGGGTCAAGTAATTGATCCCTGTCAAAGTAAAGGACAGTCAACGGACATCACTTAATCTTATACCATAGACTGACCCATACGGTGGTGGTCTCACTATCTCATCTGTACTCATTCTTACTAATATATTTCCGTAGTAACGTTCTTTGTGTTATACGGTCTTTAAAGCATCTATAGTACATTGATAAACGAACGGTTAATCCACGTTAGGTGTTGACTGTGAGGTCTGACTTTGAAGGTAGCTGGTTTGTTACACCGATCCCGTCTAACTCGAGTAGGCCATCAGTCATTCGACATAGATCATCTACGTTGACGATCTAAATTGTTATCTTTTCAAGATCAACGAAGTCATCATTCAGACTTTTAACTTTCGATGAATAATTGTATCTATGATTACTTAATTGCACATACAAAACAATAGTATCTAAATGTCTGAATCCTTTTCATGAACTACCGATTTGGGATCGGAAACATTACTCATTTGAAGTTCATCACTGAGTGATAAACAATAAGTTAACTTATTCAGAAATCGGAGTCTTTATTAAACAAATTGACTTTAATGAAAATTATATAGACTTGTAGAGTTTTAGAGTGATTTTCAAGAGGACACCGAAACTTTCATGTTAAAGAAGCAATTTTAACTATGACTATATTCTATCCGTCCATTATTAGCCATTCTAGGATGTTGATGGTTAAAGATAATCGACAAGAAACCCTATGCTTAGTTTTCGTGCTACTTGGCATCCGTCAGTAAGGTGTACCTATAATCTTTAGGGAATGGATTCTCCCTAGCATATCCTATCATATGTAACCTAGTTTCATAGTTAGAAACGTTACCACTGAATTATCCGAGTAGCGGCTAACATCATATTGGACTAAGATGTGTTTACAGTTTATTAATCATGTAGCTTTCGTTGCCAAGACCCTCAATGATGTTGATGTTTATCAGTATTGATCAAGCGTTAAGTAATTTAAAGGAATTCTAGTCAACTCGAGGAAATTTTCTACTCATTTATTAAACGGTTGACGTTACAAATCTGCTTCTGTTGAGGAGTTCCATAATAGGACGAAACGGTAGTCCAGTGCTTCCAGGTATTCCATGGTGATCTCAACTATTAAATAACTTTATTTCAATATTTATTTGATTATAGATTAGCATACTATCATGCTTAATGTTATATTATGTATGTATTTAGTTTAAGCTTAAAAGAAAATAAACCTTACTATAAACTAACTAACTATAGCCTTTACATACAGAGGATAATATTGATTTATAAAACATCTGAACTTATTACATAGTTCGATTTATACATGAAGAACTCACGTACCTTTTAGTTACATCTTTTGTAATTGTACTATCTTCATATAACTCCGCCTGGAGCCCTTCTGGGGCTACTGCCGGTTCAAAGCGCGGATAAAAGACGAGGGTCGGGCATGGAGTTAACGACACCATCCCATAGAAAACCAACACGCTAAAAAACCCATTTAAACTCTGCTCTATGAGTTAGAAGGTCTTCATTCAGAAGAGTTATGATGTCTCATGGTGACAGCCGAGTTCTTTCGGAAGTCACGAGGCTGATGCCTCTTCTGACAACCAGAGCAACCATTAACTTAGGTACAGGGAATTTATGTACAATATGGGAGACCTGGAGAGTCATCTAAATTGCTGCAGAAATGAAAAAAATACAACCTGGAGGTGCTTGGAACCAGTGAAACACATTGGACGCAAGTTAGACAAAAAAAGACTAATTTCAGGGGACCTGCTGTTATATTCTGGCCATAAAGAAGAAAATGCTCCATACACACAAGGAGTTGCACTGATGCTATCATCATATACCATGTAGTGTGAAGCATCAAATTCATCGTTAACAAGAATTGTAGGAGTAGTAATCAAATTGTAGCAGTGAATAAATCTTCAGAAAAAATAGTTCTGAAAGTCCTCGAAATTTGATGCTGACCACACTAGTTCTAATGGACAGATCTAGCTGAAGGTGCATGGTCACGCATCCGCATCAGATCACAATTCGGTACGTTGTGCTCAACTTCCCCTGCACCCGCTAACCAGTTTAGATCCATCACTTCTCAATATATTAATAACTTTTCAGGGCCGCATTCCTACAAGTGAAGAACATATGGAACTCAGAACAACTGTCAACCAATATCAAAGTCAGAATCTTCAATACGAACGTCAAAACAGTTCTACTGTACGGAGCTGAAAGGTGACGAACTTCCACAACCATCATCGAGAAGGTACAAGTATTTATAAATGGTTGTCTACTCAACATTTATTGGCCGGAAACCATCAGGAACAGCCTACTGTGGGAGGAAACGAACCGGCTTCCAGCTGGATAGGAAATAGGGAAAAGACGATGGAAATGGATAAAACACATTACGAAAATCAACAAACTGTATGAAGAGGCAAGCCCTACCTTGAAATCCTAAAGGGAAACGTATAAAACGAAGGCCAGAGAACATACTGCGTCGGGAAACATACGCAGATATGAAAAGGATGAATAGCGACTGGAAAGAACTGTAAAAGATTTCTCGAGATAGGATTAGATAGAGAGTGCTGGTGGGCAGTCTATGCTCCTCCACGAGGAGTAAAAGGCGTAAGTAAGTAGGTAAGTAAGTATCAGATATATGCTCGAACCTCTCCACTTCTGACTTCGGATTTCATTGGATTGGCACATTTCGATTATAGAAGTTGTTATTGCTTAAAGTGTTGTTAAAATTCAAATACGTGTGGCATCTTCAGTTTCTTTTCAGATAGCTTCCATATATTTTCGCTTATATTCTTTCTATTTTCAACAGTGATATCGTTTTTAGTGGCTGGTTTAATTTCTTCCCCAAATGCTCTGGTACGGCTGAGAGTGTGGAGAGTCAGCTCTCTCTCTCACGAAATGCTCTCACATGGCCACGTACATATAACCGTTACCATGGAAGTCCTATTCACTGCCTTCTCGTGACATTACTGTTGTTTACGGAATTGAGAGGACGAAAAGCGAATGTCCGGCGCTTTAACCGGGTTGGTGATCACGGAGAGTCCACCTAGGGGAGTTGGGAAACCCTGATTCTAAATCAATGGTGTACTTGGGCTCCAGGATCCTAAGAAAACAAATGGCGTATGAACCTATTGTTGATGACCGGCTACCACATGACTGTATCTCCTCATGTTGCTCCACTACATTGTAGATTAGACCTTTAGGTTCAAGTTTCTAGGTGTATCCCCCTAAGAAAACCACCTGATTCGGTTTGGACACTGCGTCAGTATCTCAGACCTCACAAAAATCGAATGAGTTATGTGTTTAAATAAATAAATATTAATAATAACAACACTCTTTCTTGTTAAATCACCCCAGTTTGACTTCTCTTCATTATGTTTTGTTTGTCTTTTTTCTCAAGGAATTCCCTTATGAATTCTAGTTTAGTTTATATCACTTACTTACTTACTCCTGTTACTCCCAAGGAAGCATAGGCTGCCAACCAGTATTTTCCAAACCACTCTGTCTCGGGCCACCCTTTCTAGTTCCATCCAATCGTTGTTCACCCTTCTCATGTCTGTCTCCGTTTCTCGTCATATTGTGTTCTTCAGTCTTCCTCATTTATTTTACCTCGAAGATTCTAAGTGACGGCTTGCCTTGTGACGTAATTGGGTGCTTCCCTCAGTGTGTGCCCTATCCACTTCCAACATTACTTCCTGACTTCTTCCTACTCTGGAATCTCGTTTGTTCTCTCCCACAGTAGGTTGCTGCTAATAGTGTCTGACCAACCAACGGATCCGAAGTATTTTGCGTAGACAACTGTTGATAAACACTTGTATCTTCTGGATGATGGGTTTCGTAGTTCTCCATGTTTCCACCCCATACATTAGAACTGTTTTGACATTTGTATTAGAAATTCTGAATTTGGTATTGGTCGACAGACAGTTGTTTTGAGTTCCAGATATTCTTCAGTTGTAGATATGCTGCTGTTGTTTTTCCTATTCACACTTTTACATGTGTATCAGATTCACCGTGTCATCAATGATGCTGTCCAGATATGTAAAAGGTTTTTACATCCTCTAAAGCTTCTCCGTCAAGTGTGATTCGATTTGTGTGTGTTGTGTTGTATCGGGGAATTTTGATTTTCCGTTTGTGTATGTTGAGACCTACTGTTGTTGAGGCTACCGCTGCTACACTGGTTGTCTTCTACATTTGTTGTTGCATGTGTGATTGAAGAGCCAGATAATCTGCGAAGCCTGATTCATTTGATTACATCAACATCATCATTCAATATTAGCTAGATCTTCTTTGATGAACATAAACTATTTCATTGTAATAATATAACTATATCAATCATATTATAATCATTAACTTTGTACCTCAATTTTGTGTATATACCAGCATTGGTACAATTGTTTCTCATCATATATCTATATATCTGTTTATCTCTTAAGCAATCATTTAATCTTCTAAAGAATTCATCTCATCTATTGATTGTAGCACAGGACAAAGATTATTACACTTCGTTTCAATTGTAAATCAACATTAATTCTTTAAATAGTTTAAACTATTCTCTATACAGTTTAAATACTTGTTGGAATAACTATCAGTAATCATATTATTAGTAGTAGTATTAGTAGTAGTATTGTTATTACCATTGATTAGTGGTAATCAAGAATTATTTGATTAGTACAATGAAATGTAAGTGAATAATAATGATTTAATAGAAAGAATTATATAAATTCAATTTATTTGGTATTATTGTTTACTTGTATCTTCTCATTGATGTTTAAGACTGCAATTGATCAGTCTCTTTCTTGTTGGTATATATGTGCATCCTGTATAGATTGTCTCGATATTGCCTTAAGTCACAAGTATTATAAGCAAAGATAGATAATGGCTAGCAGTGGAATCCAATTTGACAAGCGTTTCGACCAATTTTGATACTCGTCAACTGGATGTGCCTGCATCCATGTGTTGATGTCCATTCTGAGACTCGAACCCGCTGCCGTTCGATTCAAACGCCATTGCACTATCCACTTAGCTAGTGAGTGTTAATAGCCACAGGGTTGTGCGATGAGGTGACGTTTAATTCACTTGTTATTGTTTACTTGAATTTTCCCATTGATGTTTAAGACTGAAATTGATAAATCTTTTATTGGTATATGTGCATCCTGTGAGTATTGCATGGATATCGCCTTAATTCACAAGCTTTATAAGCAAAGATGAATAGTGGTTAGCAATGAAATCCAGTTTGACACACGTTTCGTCCTATTTGGTACTCGTCAACTGGATGTACCTGCATCCGGAGTTGATGTTCGCTATCCATCTCTGCCTATAACATTATTAAATTAATTTAAAAGTTTTACTTTCATATTTAATAAAAATTATATTTTAATTGTTGAATTCACGAATCAGTTGAATCTAGACCACCATGGAAAACCTGGAAGCAGTAGACAACCGTTTCGTCCTACCATGGGACTCTTCAGCAGTGCGCATCCAGGGCGCTGTCTACGAGACTCGAACCCAGGACCTATCAATCTCGTGTGCGAGCGCTTAACCCCTAGACTACCGAGCCGGCGTTCAACGGTGTTAATATCCTAATTCGAATCTCGCGAGGCGGGATCTTGGATACGCACTGCTGAGGAGTCCCGCAATAGGACGAAACAACTTTCCAATACTTCCAGGTTTTCTATGATGGTCTAGCTCCAATTGATTCATCAATTCAACTATTAAAATTACTATAATATCCTCTCACTTATCATAAAAATGATCTTCTTTTCACTATAGTTAAACAACATCTAGAAAGTGATTTAACACAATCGAATAGTAAACAAGTAGGTTATTGATGCATTTGTTTATTTAATTACATAACAATAACATAATATATTTAGATAATCATGGGACCAATTCAACGAATATCTGGTATCCTATTTTATATTAAGGTAATCTAGTCTATAAATGATACTTCCTCTGAAAGGCTAGTGGTATAACTTTAATACAATTAATCATCATATGGGCAATGAATACTACTGTAATATTAGTGTGAGTTTATTTTATTCATTTATGCGATACATATTACTTATTATTCAGTCATACATTCAAGGAATGGTTAAAATCTACAAACTGGTTTGTTGGATTGTTTTTGTAAGTTATTATTAGTATACTATTTTATCTGAAGTTTTCTTGTTGTTGTGGTAAATGTGTGTATGATTAAAATGATTAAAAAATTGAAGGAAAAATGGGCGAGACGCTAATTTATGGACAAGCCAATCAGAGGCGTTTTAGAGATTTCAAGGTTACGGCGTAAACTTCAGTCTTTAAGGTTGTAGATAACCAACGTAGATGATCTATGTCGAAATGATTGGAGGCCTACTCGAGTTAGACGTGAATGGTGTGACGAACGAACTAACGCCGAAGTCACACCTCGTGGTCAGCACCTTACGTGGACTACCCCCATTGACGTACCAATGTACTATAGATGCTTTGAAGACTGTACAACACAAAGGACGTTATTAAGGAAATATATTAGTTAAAGTAGATACAAGCGAAAGTAAGACCATTGCCGCATGGGCCAGTCCATGGCATACGACTAACTGATGCGCGTTGGTCGCCCCTGACCTTGACCAGGATCGATGATTTGCTCGATATTCAGTGACCCAGCTGCCGGATGATTTGGCTAGGGCTTAGTAACATTTCGCTGGCCCTACAAGGTTAACGTACGATCGGTTCATAGGGAATTTTGTACAAAGCGTGATAATTGAGTAGCTATAACAAATAAAACGGCGAGATTATAATTTGTGGACGAAACAATCAGGTATAAGATAATAGATCTCGGATTTAAACGCGAAATCCTTTCATCCATTTGGCTAAACAGAGTTTTGGCTTGATAGCTGATGTCAGTTCCTGATGAAAACCCTATATATGATTGCTAACTAAGGCAAATTATGACAGTTATTGCGAACTGGATAATAAAAGCACCCGTAACACTGGCTGCAGCCAGGTACTACAATATATACAGATGTTTGGAGAGCGTACAAACTCCTACATAGGCTTGGTTGTGTGCATCGTTTCGTTATCCACAAGTAGCATTTTGTGCACTCAACAACCGGAGTGCACATAAACAATACTGAAGCTATGTGGTCGGGAATGAAAGAGTTTTTGCTGCCAAAGACCAACTGTTATGTAGCCATATGGATGATTTCCTCTACTGTATTTATTATGATTTTAGAATCTCTGAACCTCTTTCTATCTTTGACAAGTTTTTGAACCACGTATAAGAAGTGTATCTACTTTATTTCCTTGGTTTTGTATAAAATATTTTACTCTATACTGACTGTTTGCTGACTGGCTAATATTTTTCAAGGTCGTTTAATATTCGTTCAAGGTTCATCCATAAATTAGAGTCTCGCCGAAAAATGTATATATTGTTTGTAGATCATTAATATTGATGATCTATGCCGAATGATTGAGGATCTACTCGAGTTAGACAGGAATGGTGTGATGAACCAACGAACTTTGCTGTCAGAATCTTACGTGAATTATCTCTTCGATATATCAAGGTACTATGGATGCTTTGAAGATTGTACATCACAAAGGACTTGATTACAGCAATATGTATATTAGTTAAATTAGATGCAGGTGAAAAGTTGCTACCACCACTTTATGGACCAGTTCAAGGCATACGATAAATTGATGTGAGTTGGTTGTCCTTGATTTTGCCACAGTTCAATGATCTGTTTGATATTCAGTGATCCAACTGCTGGATGTATTGGGCTCAGAGATATTTCACTGGCCCTAAATATTGAAATACACAACATACCAGTTAAATTCACTTGATGCTGTTTTACTTGTATCTTCCCATTGTTATTTAGGACTGTAATTGATCAGTTACTTGTTGGTATAAGATGAAACACGTTCTGGATTCCACTGCTAGCCATTATCCATCTTTGCTTATAATAGTTAAATGTTTGTATTACTTCCTAAATTAACCGCTTAATTAACCGCACTTTCTAAGTCATCATCATACCACCCAGTAATAATAATAGAACCCAGGTTCAATTTAACAATTCACCTGATGTTAATTACATTGAAGCGTCTAACTACATGATTGAGACATGTATGAAACCGAAGTTAAAAAACGACGATTTGTCTAAATAAGGGTTCTTTATTGTGGAATAAACACAAATGGATTATAAACCTCAACTCGTTGCATATATGTGTCAATTAACACATCTGTATTTGTGGGAGCAGAAAGGTTTCAAGAGGGTAAACGACAGCTGACAGCTGTGTTTAATGTCAAAAATAGTTTGTTGTAGCAGTTCACGACGTCTAGACAGAAGTTACTTAGTGTACTAGGATAGTATGCAGATTAGCGTTACTGAAGAGGGTAAAGGTTAGACGATAACTCAGCAATCATACACAATGCACTTACATTCACTACAGAAAGCAATCAGAAATAATACAAGCCTCAGATCAAGACAATTTTGCAATTAAAACCAGAAACCGATGGTTTCACTCACTACAATATCAGCAACTAAAATGGCAGCTAAGAGCATATAAATATGAAAACTGTTATGTTTAAACAAAAGCTCAAAAGATGTACATAACTGGAATATCTGATAATAACTACAGTAAATACTTTGGGGGATGACACTAAAAATAAACAAGCACCAAGTTATCCGGCTAGAAATTACTAGAAATACAACCGTTTATTGAATATTAATAAGTAGTATAAAATAACAAACAAGTCAAATGAGGCTCTCGCCTCATTCTATTACGATTGGGATTGCTATGTTGCCACAAGTAACAATGTTTCGGTCAGATTTTTATTATTTAATCAAGTATTTCAAGATATATAAAGCTAGAATAGTGAGAAACGTAAGGATATTAAAATCGAATATGATGGGAAACTAATAATACCGTAGGTGCAGTGAAATGTTGCCAAATCATAAGGCATTTGGGTCAATGAATATTGAAAAGATCATCGATCCCTGTCATTTTCAAGGACAACCAACTCACGTCAGCTAATCACATGCCATGAACTGGTCCATGAGGTGGTGGTCACAATTTCTCCTATGTACCTACATTAAATTATATATAACGATCTTCGAAGAATCCATAGTACCTTGATACATCGAAGGGACAATCCATGTTATATTGCTGACCGCGAGGTGTGACTTCGACATCCATCTAACTCGAATAGGCCACAAATAATTTCGACAGAGATCATCTACGTTGGTGATCTTCAGTACGATCACAGTGACAGGAATGTAAACGGATGTTTCGCTGATTAGTTCCATCAAAGTAATGCCAGCTTCTACAGTGAACTGATCGTGAAAACGATTGGGTACACTTCAATCTACTTTATATCAGTAAGTAGTATGAATAACTCACAAAAAGGCAAACATGAATTTAAATATGATGAAAGTATCATAACACGATTCAATCGTAACCCCTGCCTCATAGTCATCAATTCAATTTAGTCAAAATTAATTTGTTTACATTTGAAACCGCTGAATCCGTGATATAAGATGATCATTATCCATTGTATTCAATGAATAACCATCATAATCCCTACATGATTTACCTAAATCCATCAAAGTATCGTTCGATCATGAAAATATCAGTCATTATTTCTGTATCATATTTAGTTTATTTGAAAATCACAGTGTGAAATTCATTCCGCTTATCGTTTTTAATTTTTCACATTAGTGTCTTTCAATGTATATATGTGATTTGTGATTATTACAGCTTTTTGGGACTCTTTATTGATTTGGAAATTATTCTAATGCCACGAGTACAATTTATTTTTCCATTGAATTATATACTATTGATATTTAATGTAAGTAGTTAAAAAAACACTTGAAAATATTTACCATTATCATCATTGTATGATTTGATGTCGATAGTGTATATATTTAAGTTGATTCTTTTTTTTTTAATATAAAGACACATTCATTTATATGGAATATTCTAATTCAAAACATTTAGGGTCAATACATATAGATGACCAGACGACTGGTTAAATACATGATTTCATTTCATCCTAATTAGTTGAGTGACTGAAGAATGTTTAGATTATCTCTTTTACCAGGTTCTGAAATTTCTAATGATGGTTTATATAAAGTTGGTATCTTATTCGGGACACTTAAACGGCTTCATGGAATTGACTTTGCGGCTGATATTAGGTAGTTGGATATAGTCAAAAGGAAAACTTGAACATACATTTTGTAATAGTTGGCACCTATAAGTATTTATTGATAGTTGTCTACGCAACATACTCAACATCCATTGGCCGGATACCATCAGCTACAGCCTACTGTGGGAGAGAACAAACCAACTTCCAGCTGAAGAAGAAATCAGGAAAAGACGGTGGAGATGGGTAAGACATATATCACGGAAATCACCAAACTGCCCCACGAGTCAAGCCCTAACTTGGAATCGTAAAATGAAGCGGAAAAGAGGAAGACCGAGGAACACATTACGTCGAGAAATAGAAGCAGATATGAGAAAGATGAATAACAACTGGAAAGGATTGCTCAGGATAGGGTTGGATGGAGAGTGCTGGTGGGCGGCCTATGCTCCTCCACGAGGAGTGACGGGCGTAAATAAATAACTAAGTAATCAGTATACCACATTCATTTTGTTGACGAGTATCTGCTAGTATAAAACTTGGTTATAGCGCTTCCTGTTGGTTGCACACAATCATCAAAATATACTGGCTGCAACACTATACTTGGTCATTTAGACTAGTGGAAATATTGCAAATTGAATGAAATGGTCCAGTCAGTCACTTTCGAATTCACACTTCATACATCTATAATAAACTGACAGCTCAATTTGTTAATCAATGCTCGTTCATAGCTTCGTTCCATACACTTCTCAAACAATATCGTTCAAATAAGTATAGAGTGAAAACCAGTACAGTGAAAGATTTGAAAGTGACATTTTTCACTTTATTGTCGATTATCACTGTAGGGCCAGTGAAATGTTACTGAGCTCCAGTCAAATCATCTAGCAGTTGGGTTATTGATCATTGGAAAGATCATCGATCCCTATCAAGGTCAAGGACAAACAATGTACATCTGTTAATTGTATGCCATCGAATGGTCCATGCGTTGGTGGTCACACATCCACTTGTACCTACTTTAACCAATATATATTGCTATAATAACGTCCTTTGTGATGTATAGTCTTCAAAGCGTCCATAGTACCTAAATACGACCAAGAGTTAATCGACGTTAGATGCTGACCGCGATGTATGACTTCGATATTAACTGGTTGGTTACATTATTCTCGTGTAACTAGAGAAGGTGCCCAATCATTCAACCGAGATCATCAACGCTGATGATTTACACCATTCTGTCAAATAATACTACATTGAATTAAATAATTAATGATTATTCAACAGATAGATGATCTGTCATGTTGATTTTCTATTTTATTTATTTGTTTTCATTCAATAGTCGATAATTCTTTCAATTCCAGTTTCAAGGCTACTATGTGAATTGGAAATGTTATGGATTCCAAGTAGTTGGGTTATTACATTGGGAATTACATTACTGACTATAATATTTGGCAAATTGATACGTTTCGATATACAAACATCACTGAATATATTCTTTACTGTTATATTCACTTTACAAGCAGTAGTTTATATTGCTATGATTATATTAAATTATTATGATTACTTTGATGTAAGTAAGATAATTGTATTGTTTAAACTATTAGAGAGGGGGGTTGTAAAGATTTTAGTAACTTAAGAGATGAATTCATGAATCAGTTAAAGCTAGACCACCATGGAAGCACTGGATGGCCCAGTGATGATGCCGGCTAGAGGTTAAGCATTCGTGCACGTGACTGATAGGTCCTGGATTCGAGTCCCTTTGGTGCGGGATTATGGATGCGCACTGCTGACGAGTCCTATACCAGGACTTCCAGTGCTAGTGCTTTCGGGTTTTCCATGGTGGTCTAGCTTCAATTGACTCAGGAATTCAACTATTAAATTGCTTAAACCTCCACAAAACCCCTTTTTGATTATGATTATGAATGAACAGATGTTTGAGAGGATAACTCTGTGGTATACTGATGATGCCGGCTCAGTGGTCAAGAGGTTAAGCGTTCGCGCACGCGATCGATAGATTAGAGTCGTTTTGGTGCGGGATCGTGGATGCGCACTGCTGAGGAGTCCCATACTAAGACGAAACGGTCTTCCAGGTTTTCCATGTTGCTCTTCAATTGACTCATGAATTCAACTATTGAATTCAAACAAACTTAATTGAATTCATCTTATTGTGGATAAAACAGTAATATATTACCTTATGGAATTGATTATCTAACAATTCGATATTAAAGACATTACACTCATTAATTTTATATCTGTCGCTTTCTTTCCTATTCATGACAAACATCAATGTCATCCCTTTACAGTAATTTCTTGTTGTTGATAAGCTAGCCGTTGTAAAGAGACAAATATCTTCACTATGTTTTCTAGCTACCACCTATTCCTGTGTGTAAATGAGAATGATAATGAATTGGTAGAATTAATACAATGAGAGTTGACCAAATTATAAAGTACTGGATCACAAGTTAGATGCTCTTAGATTTACAGTGATTATTCAGTTAATGTTAGTCAGTAATGATTATTATCACTGAATACTTTTCCTTACCTTACGCCTGTTACTCCCCAAAAAGCATACGCCACCAACTAGCATTTTCCAACCCACTCTATCCTGGCCATCATTTCTAGTTCCATCCAATCGTTGTTCACCCTTCTCATGTTTGTCTCCGTTTCTTATCATATTGTGTTCTTCAGTCTTCCTCATTTCTTTTTACCTCGAAGATTCTAAGTGACGGCTTGCCTTGTGACGTAATTGGGTGCTTCCCTCAGTGTGTGCCCTATCCACTTCCAACATTTCTTCCTGACTTCTTCCTCCTCTGGAATCTCGTTTGTTCTCTCCCACAGTAGGTTGCTGCTGATAGTGTCTGACCAACCAATGGATCCGAAGTATTTCACGTAGACAACTGTTAATAAACACTTGTATCTTCTGGATGATGGGTTTCGTAGTTCTCCATGTTTCCACCCCATACATTAGAACTGTTTTGACATTTGTATTAGAAATTCTGACTTTGGTATTAGTCGACAGACAGTTGTTTTGAGTTCCAGATATTCTTCAGTTGTAGATATGCTGCTGTTGTTTTTCCTATTCACACTTTTACATGTGTATCAGATTCACCGTGTCATCAATGATGCTGCCCAGATATATTGTCACTGAATAGTAAATCCAAATCTACACTTACTTATTCAGATATATTATTATTATTATTATTATTATTATTATTATTATTATTATTATTATTATTATTATTATTACTATTACTATTGAATAGGTCATTCTCATTATTTCTGGATCAGGAATGCTATTAACAATCATTTATGTAAGTAATTTACAAGTGTAATTTAAATGCTTGTTAGCACTTGTTATGGTTCATATTAGCGGTGTCATTGGTATAAACAATTGCAGATTGTTTATGGATCCACTGAATGGTTGTTTCAACTTCTCATTTAGTAACAAGTTGATTATATTTCGGATAAAGTGTCTATCAATGAAACATAAAATGTGTGTTTCGTTTTGTATAGAAGTTATGAACAGTTTCAATCTGAGTTCCATTAAGATGGGATATGTACTCAAGGTTTCACTACTAGCTTCCATTCAAAGTATATTAAAGGTTTCTGTATTCTTCATACCTTTATTCCTTGTCGAAAATTTATTACTTATCATGGTAAATTCTATACTTAGTAGTTTTAATCAAATATCACTACTGTTTTAAGCAGTTGTTTGTTTTAAGATATATTAATCAAGCTTCGCAGATGATCTGGATCCTCCATCGCACACACGACAACAAATGAGAAAGAAGATGACTAGTGTAGCAGCAGCAGCCTTAACAACAGTAGGTCTCAACATACACAAACGGAAAAGCGAAATTCCCCGATACAACACAACACACACAAATCGAATCACAATTGATGGAGAAGCTTTGGAGGATGTAAAAACCTTTTACATATCTGGACAGCATCATTGATGAATACGGTGGATCTGATACACATGTAAAAGTGTGAATAGGAAAAACAACAGCAGCATATCTACAACTGAAGAATATCTGGAATTCAAAACAACTGTCTGTCGACCAATACCAAAGTCAGAATTTCTAATACAAATGTCAAAACAGTTCTAATGTATGGGGTGGAAACATGGAGAACTACGAAACCTATCATCCAGAAGATACAAGTGTTTATTAACAGTTGTCTACGCAAAATACTTCGGATCCGTTGGTTGGTCAGACACTAATAGCAACAACTTACTGTGGGAGAGAACAAACGAGATTCCAGAGGAGGAAGGAGGAAGGAAGAAATGTTGGAAGTGGATAGGGCACACACTGAGGGAAGCACCCAATTACGTCACAAGGCAAGCCGTCACTTAGAATCTTCGAGGTAAAAAGAAATGAGGAAGACTGAAGAACACAATATGACGAGAAACGGAGACAAACGTGAGAAGGGTGAAGAGCAATTGGATGGAACTAGAAAGGATGGCCCAGGACAGTGTGGTTTGGAGAATGCTGATTGGAGGCCTATACCCCATTTGTGAGTAACAGGCGTAAGTAACTAATTAATTACAGGAGAGTAACCGGTACTTGGCCATCGTATCGTTGGATTCAATTTTTCAAGGTCTACATTTATATGTGACTTAACACTGTGTTGCACTTCCATTAATGTTCTGCTATTGAAACCCGTATTTGTTCAAGGTTTTGGGTAAATGTGCAAATGTAATTACATGAGGGTGCTTTTTAAATTTTACTCTGTACATGCTATTCACAGTCAAGGGATCTCAATTGGATTAACATTGAATGTTATAGACTAATGGATAGTTATAACACGAACGAGTTGTTATGGTAAATGTGCAGGAATGAATGTTACTGGGCATAATTCATGAGACTCAAACTCCAGTATTCCATTCATGACATGTTAATGGATATGTACTTCTGAAAAGCTACATAAAAGAAACAATTTACTGTTTAATATTTCATTATGATCAGTGTTATATTGACTAATGAGTATATGTGATAGCTCCCACCTACATAATATTTTTACATGAATTACACAATTATTATATGAACTATATCTCATAATGAGTAGAAAATACGTGTGTACTCTTATCTGATTTTCTGATGTACTGGAGGGAGGTTTAAGGAATGGGTAATTGGTGTGAAATATTGACCATTTGACGAATACAATGGTGAAGTAGGTGAGTTAATTGTTAAGGGGGAAGTAATAAGAAAGTATTCATCCATTCTTAAATAACTCACTACAATTTCACAAAGCGCTTTTGCATTAATTATTTTCATATTCTGAAGTTAGCAAACTGAAAATGCCACAAGAATTTGGAGCTTAACAACACTTTAACCAGTAACACCTTCTATATTCGAAACGTGCCCACACAGTGAAATCAGAAGTGAAGAGGTTCGGGAATATATTTGATAGACTATCAATGTATCGAGAACCGACTGATCTAGATTGGCTAGCGAGTGTAAGGGATGTTGAGCACGGCGTTCCCACACGTGATCTGGTGCGGATGCATGACCGAGTTCCTTCAGTTAGATGAGTTCATTAAAACCAATGAGTTCAGTATCAAATATCGAGGACTTACAGAGCTATTGATTTTGGGGACTTATCTACAGCTACAAAACTAAAGAATAGAGATTAACGGCCACATAAACTATAATATTTTGTTCTAGTGTGGGGCTCCTCAGTAGTGCGCATCCACGATCTCGCCCGCTGGAACCCAGGATCTATCGGTTTTCCATGGTAGTCTAGCTTCAAATGACTAAAATCTCCACCCCCCATTTGATTATAATATCTTTTGTTTACTCATTGCCGAGAGTGAAATTCACAGTAACTCACATAAGTTAAACGATGGTTACAGACATGGTTTTTAGACAATTGATGATGATATTGATAAAATTATGTAAATGTATTTTAGGAATTGGCAATTGCAACTCAAGCAATTTTTCCAGGTGATAGACGATTTATATTTCGTGATAATCAATATTTTCTATGTGGATTAGTACTTGCAACTATAATGATTTGGATGAATATGATTATTTCAAGTGAAATATTACTTATATACAATGTATTCAATAAAACAAATCAATATATTTGAGAGAAACAAATGGATACATATATGTCTTGTCTATACACATTCACTGTTCATTGTCTATGAGGGGTTATAGTGTCGGTTGCTATGTTAAGCCCAGATACCTTATTCTAGCTTTCGGACAGGTCAATCTATTCATTCATCTTGTGTTACATTTTGACTTTGTTAATTACTCACTTATCAAACTTGATTGTTTTTATATGAGCACATTTGTGTGTGCTCTTCTTATCCTATTCATCTCATTTCTGTAGCTTATTGTTGTGTGACTAGCAAGATTGGTGAACACTTGACTAAATAGGAGATGGGTCACACGCATTCTCTACTGCGCGTCCTTTCGTTTCATTTCGCTCTCTTTTTTCTTCTCTTGCTTCGCTACGTTTTTGAGTATCTGTTCAGATCAATGATTGTACGAAATATATATATTTAAAACATCCATCCTCGTATTTGACTCACTTAATTCCGTTATTCACCAACATGATCTAAGTCGATAATTATATAAGAGGAATGACGATATGTATATCTCAATAGCAATCAGAAACAATCTCACTGGAGTCAGATTCTGGGTCACTAAAGTGGTGAGCCTGTTGACAACATGGTTCGATCTAATTGACATCTAAATGAAAGGCCCCACTACACGTTATCTTTTGTTATGTGAAACTGTTATCATGATCAAGAGATCATTCACATTTCGTTTGTAATAATACTAGAAATTGTAACCCCAATTTTTTTCCTATGTGATATTTTAAATGTATCTTTGCCGATTATAGATATGTGATGTTGTTTTTATTTTGCCACATTTCTGTACGTCTTTAAGTTATTAAGCAAAGATGGATAATGGTTAGTAGTAGAACACAGCTTGACCCGTTTGAGACTCGTCAGCAGCTAAGTGGATAAAGTGATGGCATTTGAAGCGAACGACACTAGGTTCGAATCTTGGAGTGAACACCTACCCTGCGGTGCAAGTATACCCAGCTGACGAGTACCAAATAGGAGGAAACGCGCGTCCTGGATTCCGCTACTAGCCGCTATCCATCTCTGCTTAAAAAGCTTATGACTTAAGGCAATATCGAGGCAATCCGCACAGGATACAAATACGCCAACAAGAGACTGTTCGATTGCAGTCCTAAATAACAATGAGAAGATACAAGTACATCAACACTAATTGAATTTGTCTTTAAGTTATGTTTCCATTGCTGTGTATACGGAGTTGAACTGTTTCGTTTTATTCTGTTTGTTCTACCATAAATATAAAGTTCTCACACAATTTGTCTCTACCCTGTGTTATGCGCTAGTTCTTGTTATTGATTTACACAGAAGCATGGGTTGTGTTGTAGTGAACGAGAACATAAGTGGGGACAATCAAATGTACTTGAATACACAATTATGGGATCTCTTAGTAAAACCTGAGAACCATACAGTGAATACTTCATTTGCAAAATGTCAATCAATTGTCTCAGTCTTTATTGTGACTTCGTTTCCACAACAATCCTTCACTGTTCTCGTTTCTTAGATCTTCTGCTTCCAGACATTTCATTTTCGATTGATGATACATACTACTTATATCTATCGACATCAGTAGTACACACCACAGTATTAGAGTAGCTCAAGTGTTCCTTATTTCGTACGTATTATAACTCGAAATATTAAGACTTAACAGAAACTACGCCAATTCTATATGTCTAAATTAGTTACTTGTTATATTACTTTTATTTCCAAAAGGAAACTGATCAATCAAGTTTATAATTCTCAAATATTTCAATCAGGTATGATGAGTAGTATACAGTATTAATACAGTTACGCTATCAAACAAACACCTACTTTTTCTTTTGATCTCAGTGAATTCAATACATGGGAAGTAATTATTTAGAGATAAATTTCTTAAATAAAACCCTATTCTGTCACACACAGTCAGAGAGAGAGTCTTAGTCAAAACCAGCAAGTATAATCTGTTTCTAACAAATAATTTGATGGAATGTGTGTTTGTATGAACTAATGATTTCTTTGTACTTGATTGACCACTGATTAAAAATTCCATATAGAATACGTTCTTTTGTACTCATCTAATTGTATATGCCTTAAATTGCACTATTTCTAGAATTCACAGTTAGTATATTAATTCGAATACTTCTAATCATTATATTGGTGTTGCGATGGTGTTAAATCTTGGACAGTTGGATAATGATTCAAGTAGGGATGACTTTGAAGACTATATGGAGCGGTCCGAAATTTGCTGCATGACTACGAAACAGATTAAAGATGATAAATTCACATGGTATTTCTTGACGTTCGTAGGTAAAGAAGCTAATAAACCTGCTAAAGAATCTGAGTTTTTCAGAGAAATTGATTTCATCGTCATATGAATCTTCCAAAAAATTACTTCTTAGTTATGTCCAGTGTACTAGCTTGGAATGAGGAAAGCGATCAAAGTTTCATAAAACGATGAGAAAGTTAAAGACATTATCACTCGAAATACAGAAACAGATCACCAAGTGGAATTGTAGAGACTAATAAGAAATTCAACTTCGTGAACGGTTGATTGCTGGTATAAATATTCCGAATTTATTAAACGAATTAATTCAGAAGCTTAAAAGTTCATTTCAAAAAATTGAAACAGCCTATACTAACTATTTTTAGTCAGTGAAAATTTCCAATACTTTGCTTATTCGTCGTGATGAACTACACTCTCGGGGTCGTTCAAAATCGCGTTTGTTTAATAATAGTTCTTATTCTCGTGGAAATATGTAAAGTGAGTCGATAAGAAATTTTAGAGCAGATCATAAATGTGAGCACAAATTTGGTAAATATTTGTCCTGTGACGAATTTCACTCATGTAATTCATGTGTATTTCGTTGTGCTACATGCTTTAAATGTCGTAAAATTGGACACAATCAGTCAGTTTGTAAAACTACTATACAACTCACCGCATGTAACACTAATCTTTGTAGTTCCGATCCTATTAAGTTGAATGTTTTTAATGATCCACATTTTCGAAAGCTAATTTCTATATTCAGAGGCGATTATATACTTCCTTTGGTTCATTCCATGTTTTATTATTGACAAATGGATACGAAGGACCCACCTAGGGGAGTTGAAAAACCCTCATTCCAAACCAATGGTGTACATGGGCTTCAGGATCTTGAAGGAACAAATGATGTATGAACTAATTATTGGTCGCCGGCTAACATGGGAATGCATCTCCTAACGTTGCTCCACTGCTTTGTGGATGAGATATTTAGGTCGAAGGCTCCAGATATGGCCCCTTAAGAAAACCACCTACTTCGTTTTGGGCTCCCTGGCAGTATCACAGCATACACACAAATCAAGTGACTTCTGTGGAGCATATCTGTTTTGTGTCTCCTTGTACAAATGTTTATGCGTTTAGATAAATAGTCAATGTAAACTGATAAATCTTCCAATTGGGCGCTTGATCAGGTTTACTAAGCTATTCTAGTAACCCCCAGGCTAAAACTACACGACAACTTCAACACGAGAGAAAAAGCGCCAAATATGGAAGGACGCTTTACTCTAAAGTCAGTTTATGTACAGAAAACCAAGGGTATTTATAGCACATTAGATGGCCTTGGGCTTCTGAAACTCTTCCAAACATAGTAGTAGGATAAATAATCATCGGCGAGACCATAATTTATGGACGAACCAGTCAGATTTACGATAACAGGTCTTAGATTTTGGCGCGATATTCATTCACCCATTTGGCTAAATGTTCTTGGCATTATAGCTGATGTTAGTTCGTGAAGAAAACCCCAAACCTAATTCCTAACCCTCAACTGTAAATCATAACCCTTATCGTTCAAACTACTTTATAACCCTCATTTAGCCCTAGTAAATAGGTAGACACTCTCAAGGTCATTTTAGCGTCGCTCAAAAGTCGTCCATAAATTATAGTCTCACTTAATCACGCGGTCAGAAATGTGACTTCTCACTTTACAGGTGTTTCTGCGAAACTTCTATTGAATGCTGATTGGATAAGATGTTTCTCAGCGTTTTCAGGGTTCCTCTAAGTTTTTTTTTCGAGGAATTTTCTGGGTCCACCCAACATAAACAAATGGTATCAGATATAGAAATCAATGTTAAGAATAAGTACGTTCAAACTAGCAATTTTCGTCTTAAAAATTCAACATAGGTTGAATTACAACTTGCGTGAGGCACTTGAACTTGACATTACTTATACGGGGTATAGTAGCTCATGTATAATTGAGTTTGTTCACATTTAATTTGATTAAGCCCTTTTGTTAACTTATTTAACGGACAGAGTCATCCGTACAATGACAACTTATCTACACCATTGTATGAATTGTATGCTTGACCAATACTTACTCCTTACGAATATATTCATTCTGCTAGCCTTACTATTAGTTGCTTAATTGATTCGATGATTCATTCAATTCACTATGTATATATATGTACATTTTTATCATGGTGATCGACTCGCTTGCGTGGTTTTTAGGCTCTGAACAACAACATCAACACAAACTCTAGAATAGAAGTCATTTGAAACATACGTTGATAGTAAGTCAAACTAAATAAAACTAGTCATATTGAGCATTCCACAAAAGTTTCATATTTTCTTCACCATCAATCCGGATTGTCTTACTCTTAATTTACTTTTAATGACAAGGGTGTAACGAGAAAGTGTATAATTTATTCAAAGATTTAATTTTAAACAATCTATGGACAAAACTTCAATGGTTTATGTCCAATTTATTGTTCAAAGCATAATCATAGTGGTTTAAGAAAGATATGAAAATCATACTTCAAATACATCATTTGCACATCTTCCATCAACAGTCTCTCGAAAACTTTATTATTCTTTCATTCCTGTTGTTATCTTGATTACTTTGAGTTTCTATCTGTCTTCTCTTCATTTCCATCTTCTCAGCCCTCTGGTGTAACATGCTACTTATATCTGCAAGCATAAGTAGCATATATCACACTACCATTACTTCATTGGAATATCAAACATAGATAATAATTTATATCAGTCAGTCAACTACAAAGTAGGACCAGACACGTATATGCATCGGTTCAAGTTGCCACACCTCCCTATCCTTAGTTCAGGTATTAACACAGGCCAGTCCTGGAGCATTTAGGGGGGAGAAGCACATCCCGAACATCCTGACATTGTTGCTCAGTGCTATCAAAAGACTTTGTCTTTTATCAGCGTCTTCACCAAACAGGACTATACCATTTTCGTATTTTATGTCGATAAGCGGACCTCCTTGTAGATCAATACCCAAAAATTCAGTCGACCGGGGCGTTATTTCCACCAGTAAGTTTATGATGAATTTAAACATGTACTTAGCAAGACTATAATTTATGGACGAACCAATCAGATACAAGAGAACAGATTTCGGGACGAAATTTACTTATCCATTTGGTTAAACAGAGTTTTGGCATTATAGCTAATTTCAGTTCGTGATGAAAATCCTAAATCTAATTCCTAAGCTTAACCATCAACTGTAAATCATAGTTCGAATTCCTCACATAGGTTTATAACCCTCATTCGGTTCTAGTCATTAGGTGAACACTCAAGATCAGTCTAGCGTCGCTCAAAGGTCGTGCATAAATTATAGTGTCACCATATACTTCTGAGGTACACCTTTCAATGACAGACAGTGTCACAGAACCTGTTATACCCGATCGGAGATTAAATAACGAGTAATGTCTGAGGTATTAATTGATTAATATCTATATGTTCTTATGGTATAACTATTCAATAATTAGACTATGTATGTTTATATTCCCCTTATTATAAGCTTTATTTTGACTTATATGTTATTATTGTACGATTTACGGTTCTTAAGCTATGCTCAGTTTATTGACTACTGCCTCCCACGTTCACAGTCACTTTTTGGCTTTATTGTGTACAAATGATATTTCCCATTTTATGGTGCGCTGCGGTCTGTTTGGTTGATATATAAACATAGTATGTCTGAAATAGATGATTCGATTCGCATGGTGGAAGCTGGTATTGGTGTTCTGAACTCAAGTGGACGAGCTAGGCGGACATAGGACCAATAAAGACGCAAGACTGCCCATACCGGTCGAACGTCATTGGTTTACACAGTGCGAAGATTGTATAAGTCGTATTTTGATTCGTGGATAAATCACGTGATAACTAGCCGGACATTAAGTGATAACAGAACCTCTTGGTGAACAAAGTTAAATACTGTTTTTAAGTCAAGAAAGACGACCATCGTCAGATACCAATAAACTGTATTCTAGAACTTGACAAATGGTGAGAATATATGATCGATTCAGCTACAACCATGTCTAAAGCCAATCAGATTTTCTCATGTTTTCATATGAAAAACTATATTTTAACAAATTAACCTGTAGAAATACATTTACAAATCACTTATATCTTTATTATTATTATTATGATAATGAGGATGATTACTAATTAATTTACAAATGAAGTAAAGAAAAAGGGATGATCATGATTATCATGTTGATGATGAGGATGATGATATTCCTGTCTCTCTTTCGATCTTAGTAGATCCAATTAGATTGAATTAGGAAAAATTAAAAAATCATCAATAATTTGAAGCAAAAAAAGAAGAAAAAATAAAAAAAGATACAAAGTAGAAAAGAAAATCTATTTAAAGCATAAATGAAAATATAGTGGATATCTCTCTTCTAATGGAATTATATTCATTATAAAGTTTCTATATTTGATATATTCATATTAGTTGGATAACAATCAACTAATGGCATAATTGTAAGATATGCATCAAAATTTTGCCATAATAATGTATAACTAACATGAAAGCTAATAAGAAAAAAGAAAAAAAGAAGAAAAGAATGAATGAATAAATGATAAATAGGTTTTTGTTGTTGTTGTTTTTTTACAATTAAAATCGAATTAATTGTTGTAAGTGTTATATCCTAGTGAAGATTAAATTATGGGTAACTTCTGAGAACTATTCATGGACTAATATTGTTATTATTGTATAACTATTCAGTAATTAGATTATGTATTCCTCTTATTATAAGCTTCATTTTGATTTATAGATTATTATGATACAATTGATTGTTCTTAAGTTATATTCACCCCCCCCAAATGCCCTGATACACTCGAGAGTGGGGAGAGTCAGCTCTCCCTTCCTAAATGCTCTCACATGGTTACGCGTATACAACTACTGCCAGGAAAGCCCTACTCACTGCCTTCTCGCGGTCGGGGTGTTGTTTAAGAAATGAACAGGACGAAAAGCAAATGTTCGGCGCTTTAACCGGGTCAGTGGACACGGAGAGTTCACCTATGAGAGTTGGAAAACCCTCATTCTAAACCAATGGTGTAAATGGGCTAGCTCCAGAATCCTGATGGAACAAATGGCGTATGAACAAACTACTGGGAAATGGCTACCATGTGACTGCATCTTCTGACGTTGCTCCACCGCTTTGTGGATTAGACCTTTAGGTCAAAGACTCCGGGTATGGCCTCCTATGAAAACTTCGATTTGGGCATCCGGTCAGTATCCCAGCCCTCCCATAAATGGAATGATTTATGTGGCGCATATGTATTTGGTGCCTCCTTGTACCAATCTTTATGTGTTTAAATCATAAATCATAATATTAATATTTATACTCAGTTTACTGATGATTACAGTCTCCCACGTTCACAGTCACTTTTTGGCTTGATCTTGTATAAATGTTATTTTTATATTTTATGATGTGATGCGGTTTGTTTGACTGGTATATAAACCAAGTATGTTTGAAATAAATGATTCGCATAATGGGAGCTGTTATTGGTGTTCTGGACTTAGTTGGAAGGTCTAGGTGAACAAAGGATCAACAAAGACGTTAGGCTGCTCATACCGGTTGAGCATCATTGGTTTAGTACAGTATGAGATTAAATAAGTCGTATTTCGATTAGCGAATAAATCACGTGTTAACTAGCCGGGATCAAAGTCACAATAGTAAGGCTCAAAATCGATCAAATTGGCATAGCTGACTGACTGATAACTATAGTTTCTATAGCCATACCACGCTTTCTCTGTATATATATATATTGAAAAACAAAGTCATTACTCACGCTTGCTTCATGGTCTTATTGATTATTTATTGTATAAATCTTTCCTATATGTATCAATAATGCTAGAGTATTAAGTAAAGAATTTTAGTCTAACGAATTGCCGACCATTATAAAGAGATGAAGTGACAGCCTGTCATAACTCGAGTAGTTGGAGACATTAGGTAACAAATCAAAGAATCAGTCACAGTAATGTCAACGAATTGGCTCTATGATTTCCTATGGATTCTGAGTTCCAATATCACTATGAATATACCTATTCGTTCTGTTTCTTAGAACTATATTCCCAATATTTGGTCTTCCATGCAACCATTAGTACGACAATCCTTTGCTTCTTATCTTATTAACGTAACTTTGTTGTGCTAAAGCATTATAGTAGCTTGGGCTAACTCCAAGCCCCTAAACGGTTTCTATATAGGTTGCTCTTGAATTTTTGCATGTTGATCAACCGTTATCAAGTTTAGACACAACCAACGGCTATCATTTTGCATTATCGTATGTTGTAACTATTCTTTATGTTACTATTGCAAGAAGCTATTTTTATTTCAGACAAAAAGACACAGTAAACGCCATAAACACCTTAAAAATTGAGATTTGTGATAAATTTCTGTATATTATTCAATAAAGAACCACTATTTTAAACAAATTGTTGTTTTGTGAAGTTTGGTTTTGCATGTATCTCAGTTGAATGATTTGTACACTTCAATAGATTCAATAACAACAATCTTAATAAAAACTATATGATATTTAACAATAGAAAATGTAAATCATTTAAAAAACTTCTTTTCTATTATTCAAGACTTTCAGATTATAAGAAGCTTGTAATAGCATTAAATAAAGAAGACGAAGATTATCAGAACTATTTACTTCCTTACGCCTATTACTCCCAATGGAGCATAGGCTGCCAATTGGCATTCTCCAACCCACTCACACACATATACTTGTCAAGATTTTTCGGAATGTATTACACTAATCTATTATCACATTAGTTCTAATAATCTTCATCTTCTCAATACATCTATCGAAATTTATCAAATGGGATTAATTATTTTAAATGAAATAAAGAATTACATATTGTATTATAATATAATAATATACCATATCAATACTTACGTAAAAGTTACGTATATATCATGGAAGTAAGGTAATTTCATAAGACATAATTTACTGAAAATAAATAAATGTAAATAGATTTATAAAAACCAGTTAAAAGTTTGAATTATGTACTATAACTTTTACATAATACAAGTGAAGTTTTGAAACTGTTGCGTTATAATTTAACGACATTATCTTCAATCTCAGCTATATTCTTATTAGAGTTAGTTAACTGGTTTTGTAAACATTTCAGTTATTTAGATTTAATATTTGATATATGAATGTACTAACTATGGTTATCAGTATAACCTATCACATGAATTTTATCTATTTATTTGAATACATAAATATTGGTACAAAGGGGGACCGAATACATATGCGCCACATAAATCATTCGGTTTGTGTGACGGCTGGGATACTTCCCGGGTGCCCAAATGGAAGTAGGTGGTTTTCTTAGGGGGTTACACCTGGAGCCTTTGACCTAAATGTTTAATCCACAAGGCAGTGGAGCAACGTTAGGAAATACAGTTCCATGATAGTCGGTGACCGACGATTGGTTCATACATTATTTGTTCCTTCAGGATAGGATCCTGAAGCCCATGTACACCATTGGTTTGAAATGAGGGTTTTCCAACTCCCCTAGTTGGATCCTTCGTGTCCACCAACCCGGTTAAAGAGCGGAACATTTGCTTTACTTCTCAATTTCTCAAACAACACCCCCGCCACGAGAAGGTAGTGAGTGGGGCTTCCCTAGCAGTGGCTGTATACACGTGGTCATGTGAGAGCATTTGAAGATCTGACTCTCCCCACTCTCGACTGTACCAGGGCATTTGGGGGCTATCAAGACAATATGATTTTTCTAGTGAATATTTGTCTTCCAAAATTGCGTTAGTATGCAATATTTCTGAATGCTGTTTAGGATCACGTATATGTTAAAAAGCAATAAACTGTGACTTAGCCATGAATCAAACTAATACGAGACAAGAACACTGTCATGAAACTCTTGGGGATATAATAACATGTGTTCTGCCCGTGGATAACGTTCAAACAACCAAAACGTATTCAGCGTTGTGTCAAGTGAAGTGATTTGTTAGCTTCTTTACACTTTGAACTGATCTAGAAATAGGTATTGATGAATAAAGTGTGATATATGGAGATAAACAGAACAGTTAGACAAGTATTTTTAAACTAAACTTGACACAACTTTTATCACATCAATCATACTGTATAAATATTAAAAAATTTCTTTTAATCTTAATATGTACAATACACTACATACAGTAAACTTTGAATGAATGAATGAATGACGGGAGCTAAAAGTTACATGCTTAGTTGGGTCACTTCTACAGTATTTTACGAGTTTGCAAAGAGAGACTTTAAGATTCTCAGGAGACAGATCCTAAGTTGAATGGTAGAATGAAGTATAATCTATTACATTGGGACTATACACATGTATTTTGGCAATACAGTATGGAGATGAACATAAGCATTAAGGTTAAGTAAGGGAAATGGTAAGGATCTTGATGCTCGGAAACAGTTGAAAAGAAACATTGTCTCAAAACTTCAATTGATAAATTTAAGTAGTCAAATTTCGCTCAGTGAATGGAATTTTGTTGTAACATAAGTTTTCGAGTGTAAAGATGATCAAAGTACATAATTCCCGGCTTCTACGTTGTGATTGACTGGCTAACTGACTTTACTTCCTATTACTAGTACAGGCGTTAGCTCAAACAAGTTTTGGACCAACATTTTGCACTTAAAGAGGGAGACATATCCCAAATATGTTCGGATTGTTGCTTATGGTAGATCAGAAGACTCTGAATTTTGTTAGCATCCTCACCGAACAGAACTGTATCATCTGCGCATTCTAGTTCAGCAAGTGGATTTCCTGGTAGATCAACCACTGAAAAGCCAGATGCTGAAATTGTATTTAAAAGCCTGTCTATGAAAAAGTTAAATAAAAATGGGTAAGTTGGAAAACCTTGGGGAACACCACTTGAAAAAATCAACTCCGATGACAACACACTATAAGTTCGGACGTGTAGTACCGTAGTTGATCTACGTAACTTTCTAAATCAAACTTCTTGCTGCCAGTAAGCAGATTGATAAGATCACTCGGTAGTCCTAGAGTCGTCCCGAAGATTAGTTCCAAACTTAAACCAATTAGTACTCTTAAACAATTGCGAGCGACATATGTACACAAGGTTCTAAACAATTGCACACACATCTCGATAAGTTATGACGAAGTAAAAACATCACTTAGTCCTCCATTCGAAGGTCCATAAAAAGTTATCTCAAGAAAACCTAAGTATTTCTTTGTACAAAAACAGGGAAACATCGACTCAGTAAGCATTGATAGGTCAAAACCGACTTATCTTGATAATGAACCACAATACGTGTTATTAGTCCGTTAACCTGACAAAACAATCACAGAATTGACAAGTAACAACGATAATTCTACACAAGTAACTAAAAACGTCAAATGGGCACAACCGGTTATTGAAACGGGGATATCTACATTTTATTCCTAAGCCTACAATTTAACCATGTACCTACTAAAATGTTGGTTTAATAAATTTTGTGTGTTTATTCAAATAATGAAAAAAAAACGAGAGTCCGTTATTCTTCGTACCGTTTCATTGATTTTATTTTTAAAAATATTACCACAATAGTAGTAGTCTTAAGTAATATCTTAGCTTTGATTCGTTAGTTCAACTTTGAAAATAATACAGTCTCCACAAATCTTCAAAATAGATACCATATTAGTCAAACTAATTCCTCAGTGATCGTCACAAGGGAATTATTGTTATTTTTACAGACTGGGACGATCAGTAATCTAGACTAGTCAAATGGAATTACGTCCAGTTCTCAAATTCTAATGATGTCGGTTAATATAACTGCTAAAACTGGACCACCATATTTAAAAAATTTCTGATTTATGCAAATATTCGTCAATATTTCGGCGAGTAGTATGACAGAAATTGGACGTCAAGTAATAATAACAAATAATGTCCTTCTCTAGTTGTTCCTAGAATATGTTCTTACCTTCCTCATCATTATGTGGAACTCGAGAAGTTTTGCATACTGCGATTTTTCTACGTCCAGTAAGATACAGAGAAATAAGTGCTCAAACTAAAGCATGACCCGATTCTAAACATATGCTCCAGAATGAGCGACAGTCTTATATCGTCTCCCAAAGAATGTACGATGGCAACGTGGTCTATTTGATTTAATCAATGTGTCCACTGTGTGAATCACCATGTCAAACGATATTTTTCTTTACGTCTAGAGATGGATGGTCATCAGAGCATAGTTGGCACTATATTTTTGTTGGTCGATGACATCGTAAGATACACTTCAACGCTCGAATAGCTCAGTGGTAACGTCTCTGACTGTGAAGCTGGGTGACACGAGATCGAATCCGCCAGGGAGCACCAGTTCCTCCAAGATTACAGGTACACCTTGCTGACGAGTGCCAAATAGCACGAAACCCGGGTCCAAGGTTTCCTGTTGATTACCTCCAACCACCATCTAAAATCTCAATACATAGTGCCCGCAGTGTCGAGTCACCTAGACTGGTGGCCACATTGCAACCTGATCGATAGCATTCGATCTGCACTAATAAGGACTAGACAAGCATGACATTGATCCTCACCCAGTGATCAATCAATTGTGATACACTTGAACGCTTTTCAGTTTGGTTTAGTTTACTTATTTAGGTATTAAAATCACCCATTATTACCGCATCAAAAAGTTTAGCTTCCTTAAGGCCGGAAATTTTCCTGTAAAATTCATCTTTTACTTCATTGGAATTGTAATCAGTAAGTTTAGGTAGAGACAACTATGTGTACTAATCTTTTAGAGTTTTCACTTTCCTATTGAATCGGGTAGTGAAAAAGTGATTGTCCATTGGGATTCATTCTAAGAAATTATATTCTACTTTAAAACTAAATGCTACACCAACAACAGCTGGAAATATCAACGGGGTCCCCAGACACACAAAGAGTAGATCGACCCAGTTGTAGGGAGCAATTTCCTACAAGTTTAATTCTGAGCTATTCTCTAGACCGTCGAATACAGAGTCTTAGTTTGGCCAAAGTCAGAGCAAGCAAGCTATTTGGCTAGATAAACTTTATCTGTTTCTAAAACATAAATTAACATCGTTAGTGTACAAACAGACTGTACTGTCTATTAATATAGGGAAAAAACAGACAAATAACATACCGAACAGTAGCCAGAGAATAGGAAAAATGAGTCAACAAGCAAATATTGTTTTACAATGAACATCAAACTGTGATTGGTTAATAAAGAGATACAGTAGTACAAGGTCAAAGGGAGTTAATGTGGTGGTGGATGTTCCCCTTTATTACTGGTGAGTTCGTCTATCGATCACATTTTACACCGGTTCTTTATATTGATAAAATGAGTTCGAATGAGCAACAGCACTTGGACCTAGTGTGAGCGTTTCAAAGACGCAGAACACATCAATGGCGCTAGATTTTATTCCCGGCTAAGGTAGCCCGTTGTTCTATCAGACAAAGTTTAAACATTAATAACTCCAAAATGTTGTTTAGATTGTGGTTTCGGGAGGCCAGGAATAACATTTCGTAAACTCAAGTTATCAGCATTGGTGGCGCGTGATTATAGGGATATGCGAAAAGGGTTGTCCATAAAGATAGGAGAATTAATAATGGATTAGGGGAGACATGATGGCGACCAAAGTGACCTTGGGTGTTGTTAGAGGTATGGGGACGGTTTTCACCTCTCGCCTGTCCAAATATTAGTGGATATTTCTTGATATGCTTAAATAAGAGTCTGGGTTAGCAATAGTTTTTAGCGATTTGAGGGTTTGGCCACAGAGCCCAAGAGATAGCTGCCTGAGGCCGGTCACGCACAGCGTTTTTATGGGAAGTGTTTAATGAGTTAGCCCAGTGCCTTGAAACCTATCTCCGGAGACAGAAATCCGTGGGATCAGGCGAGGTCGTTCGAGGGAAACGCTCTACTACTGTGACACTTCTCTATAGTCAGTAGGACCTACCGTAGAACATCAAGTCGTTACTTTGGGTTTTACTGTACCCCAACTGATCAACCTGAAATGGTAGGACCTAAAGGAAGATATGTTCCAGCCACTATCACTCGGCTGAGTCATCACAATAAGCAAGCACCACCACCACACCAAGGTGGGAGCTACAGTCAAGTGATCAAAGTAGTTAAGAATAACGAATGTGAAGAATAATAAGACATACGGTTTGCTGTATTAAACCCGTAGTATTCTCTAGATTAAGTAGAGTGAAGCACTGTCGCAAAGAGTGGACATAATGGATAACAGGGTAGCAAAGCATAAGCCAGAGTAATGCGACCACATTCGAAGCATAACCCTTGTTAAACAACACTGTCACACGAAGTTCCAGTGGAACCAGCTGTGAAGTAGATACAATTACACATGAATTTGTTTACTGAAATGAACTAAATCTTGTTCCTTTCCCTGCTCATCTATTTTTACATACCGATCGTAACTAAATCTGTAGTATATAAAATGAATCCAGATATAAAATAATCACCAACTTACATTACATCGAAATGTTTATGCTCAAAGAGTAACTTCGTTGTCACATTCAGTAAAGTTTCTGAGCGAAGCGGTAGCATCTGAATGGAATTGTTAAGTGTCTCTTGTAGATCCACTGAACGGTATTTTGGGGACACAATAATTTTAGTTATTGTGGTTGGAACAAAGTTAGGATTTGATACATTAATCTGGTTCTACTTGGGACTCACAAGTTATGTAAAAATGAACATACAATCACTGTGAGATCTATCAAATTATCTTGCATGTTGGCAATGGCACTTATCGTAATTAACTTGTACGCTGAACTTCTCAAAGAGATTGTTCGAGGAAAGAGAAACACCAATAAAAGTATAAATACTAAGGAGCAGATCACTACAGACCCAAAGAGTTTAAGGCATATTCTACGCGGCCGAAGACGTCGGTCTGTCAGAGGAATTAAAGCCACATACTCTGCTCTGGAATCTGAAAATTTTTACACAAATTGCGTATAAAATACCTTTACGCACGTAGCCTGCTCCGGAACATGTTGGGCAAGCAACTTGAGGAGATATTACTTCATAACTTGGCATTCCAACTGACCTTGAAGCTTTCAAGCAACCTTCAACTTCAATACCCAATATCTTCGATACGTGCTTACATATACTGACTGGTTTCTCTGTGGTCACTTCATATTGATTTGGTATGATTCCAAATTTTTGATAATCCCCAATGAGAGGTTATCCGGCTGCTCAACTGTTCTAGTTCTAGTCCGCTGGATGATAAATTTCAGATCACTGTATCTCGTGAAATAGTACAATAGACCGTAGACCGAAACCTTGACTATGATATGCTCCAACAAAGACCTTGATAGTCGCTTCGTTTCAGGCAATAGGTCATCACTTCCGATCTTGGGTGATCTGTACCTTAACTCGTCCTTCAACTTCCAAGAATTCTCAAATTCCTCATCTGCTTCACTGAATACAGGTCTGCACTTCACAAGGTCTACGAAGGGCTCTGCAAAGTTATTTGTAGCAAGTCTAAGTAACAGACCTTTGACAACAACGTGAGTGAAAATAACGTCAGCATCAACTATTTGAACGTCATCTGTCTAAAAAGCAACTATTTGTAAAACCCATTTTGGTTTGTCCTCGCAAAAATACGGGAAAAATCATATTTCTCCCTATTAGTACCATCTCAGTATTCCGTTGTATTTATTGCTGTTTCAATGGCCTTTATCAGTTTGCATATGTGCTTCCTTTTTGTATTTAGCTTCAATCATTGATAATATATTGTTTACAGAACAGAGATTTGTGGAGATTGTAGCAATTTTTCATGGTTGGATTCATAATTCGATTAAGCCCTGCTTATAAGTTCCAACATTTCGTTAATTATCTTATGTTGTTTTATTGTTTGAGAATCGTTTATCGTCGTTTTACTTGACATCATGTTATTTCGGTTACCACATCGGCAATCTATACTTTGGCTATTACATCTGATATGTGTTGCCATTATTAAAAGTGCATCCTCTGTTTGATTTGAGAACTTGCTCTACAAAAGACTGAGAATTAACTACATCTTTTTTTATCCAACTCTTGTTTTCTTGTTGATCGATCATCTTTGGGGCTGACTGAACAGACCATTCCTTTTTCCTTGAGTAGGATATTGTTTCTCGCTTAATAGCAATGTTCCTTTTATGTTGATAAGTGGTATTTGGAAAGTTCCTGATTCAATTGCAAAGTGTTGTTCGGACAGCATTAGATTTATTTTTTCTTACATTTTTCTCATAGTACCTTCTTCAACTTTTGAACGTCTGTCTTTTTTTATGGAAAGTTGTTGTGTGTTATCGCCTTCTGGATTACTAAACTTGAAGGAACGTAACTATGCCAATAACAACGAGACAGGCACTGTGGAAGTGATCCATAGTTAGGTTCATCGTAATTCTCTGCCAGACTCGCCACTTTGCCACAAAATAGCAATCCTACATCAAACATTCTAGTGAAATCTTTGGGCAAACAACGTCAGCAATGAAACTGTTAGCAAATCGCAAAATTATCGCATTCAAGTAGGATCATGTGCTTCTAATAGAAGTATAGTGTGGTGTCGAGTCGCGGTTGACTATGATCACCATCACAGGATGACTACGTGCCAGCTAACTGATAAGATCCCCCGTAAGCCAAATATCAGAAGGTAGTTGATGTCTGTAGTCGGAATGTATTCGTTGGCGACCTCATGGTATCAAAAGAATACCGAGATCTGCCAGAGTACAAGTGTGGTTACTGAGCGTAACCAAATTGCGCAAGGCCACAATCAACGGAAGAATGTATGTGTTTTGGTACAGTTCAAAAAACAAATACAGTAAAACAATCGCTGATACAATTGGTCATAATAATAATTGTTCCGTATACACCAATTGCATTCTCTTGATAAAAGTAGGTCACTACAGGAGCCCCCGCTAGAAAGAGTTAACATTTTCGATTCGTAGTGGTTTCATTCGTGGGACTGATCGGTAGATGTGCGATTGTAGGACGAAAGGGCTGGCGAACAGGAAGCGATTGTTGATCCTCGAGTTGTCAACGAAGGTTTCTTACGTAGAACAGTACTAGAAGAAGTGTGCTGTATTTGTTGCTCGAGTTAGCATACCACATCAGAGTAGTTTGTATCCATGATCTGAAGATTGCGTTCATTGTGGTGTGGACCAGAAAACGCTGCAGACGTAGGGCGGAATCACGTTGAGCCAAGGAACCAGAAGCGACCATAACAACCAAGTGCGAGACCAAATATATACCAGACATATTCGGGACCAGAACATCGACTGAGTGCAATGACAAGAGCGTGGGTGATCAGGCCAGCCTTCGCCAAGGTAGACTGAAGTCGACGTGCCAAAACTGACGACGGTTGGAGGCGTGGGCTCAGGGTACGAAAAAATCAAAATAAGAGAAAGGGTGTGGCGTGCATGTAGTATAAGAATAGTCCCACATCGTATCCGTTGTTGGTTGTGTGGCTAGTCGCGAAAGCGTACGGGTAAGCGTAATCGGAAACCGTAACGTGAGACGGTGGTGTCGTTCCTATTTCGTGAGCCTGCAGTCTTGTTGTGGATGCGAAGGATAGACCAATAATTATCATGTTAAGTCCAATGGTGTCCTTGGATTTAAATGGATATTTCCTACCGGTCGATATCTGACCACTTGTTGAATATTGTACAAAATGTTGTTTTCTATTTTTATGGTACGATGTGGTATGTTTGGTTAGTATATAAATAGAGTATGTCTGAAATACAATGATTCATAACTCAGAGGCTGAGATTTGTGTTCTGGACTCAACTGGCTGTGATAGACAGGGAATCGGGACCAATCATGACTCTAGGTCGTCCATTGCGTTCGTAAGTGTTTACGTGTCATGGAATCGATCGATAGATACGCTGTTCTCTAGTTTTTCAGTCAAGGACACAACAATTAACACAGGGTAAAAAACAACCACAACTTGAAGTCGCAACAAATCTCATCCGAAATCAGGGGCGGCGTGGTCTGCTGATCTGGACGTGAGACTGAAGTCTCGTCCGTAGATGGTGCAGATGACACGTGCTGTTGACTGGGACGTGAGAATGAGTTCTAGCTTAAGATCCGGAGAAGATGTAGGGATTCTGCTAGTAGGTTTGATGGGTCTAACGTTGGATCTCAAGTTATCAATTAGAGCATTGTAATAGACGTGTGCTGATTTGAGACGATCAATGCTGACGATCTTGACACAGTCATATCAATCAATCTTGAAGGTCTTTCCGTGACGGGAAATCACGTGAAAAGGTCCCTCGTAAGGCTGTTGCAGGGGTTTGCGTACCAAATCTACTCGTATGAAAACATGTGAACAGGTAGATAACTCACGAGGGAGAGTGACCTGTCGATGCTGTATTCGAGTTGACACCGGAGACAGTGTTCGCATAAATTCAGTCAGTCGATGAACGTAGTCTGATTTACCAAAATCGTCACTTCTCCGTGGTGTTAAAAATCCCCCAGGCAGACCCAATGTCATGCTGTATACAAGTTCATCGGTGGGGCACTGAATGTCTACCTTTAAACTCGTTCTGATACCTAGAAGGACGAGCGGTAAGGTTTCGTACCTATTATCGTTTTCTTGTGCTCGAAAAGCAATTTTAAGTTGGCGATGAAACCGTTCGACTAAACCATTTGATGCTGGGTGGTAGGTGGTAGTGAGTTTGCGTTCCGTACCAAGCACTCGGGTCAATGAGGAGAAAAATGCGGACTCGAATTGTCGTCCTCGATCAGTCGTGACAGTCGAGGGGCAACCGTACAACGCTATTCATCCTTCTACGAAGCGGTGATCAACTGTCTCCGCCGTAATAGACGTTATGAGGACAGCTTCGGGCCATCTTGTAAAACGATCGGTGCACGTGAGTATGTGATCATACCCGTGCGATAGTGGCAATGGTCTCACAATGTCTATATGAACGTGATCAGAGCGAGCACCGGGCGTAGCGAACGTGCCAATGGGGGCAGCTACGTGCCTGTGCACTGTTGATCGTTGACATTCTAAGCATTGCTTTACCCACATACGAACATTATTATTCATGGACGGCCAGACGTATCGTGCGGCGATGAGACGTAATGTAGCTGCGATACCTGGATGAGACAGTTCATGCAGGGCTTCGAAGACGAGACGACGGTAAACAGAGGGTACGATGGGTCGAGGAAGACCGGTAGAAGTATCACGTAGGATAGTACATGAGCTAGTATGGACTTCCCGATACCGAACAGATTTAGCATGATGGGCTTCTGTACAGGAGGGATCGCTTACTTGGGTGGCAGCCATGGCAAAAAGATCAGGCACCGGTAAAGTAGCTGCATTCACTTGGATACGTGACAGATCATCAGCAACATAGTTCGACTCGTATTTAACGTGACGGAGGTCTGTCTTGAACTGGGAGATATAATCCAAATGTTTTCACTCTCGTGGTGAGTAGCGGTCAGAATTGGTATGCAAAGCATACGTTAAGGACTCATGGTCAGTGAATAAGATAAATTGACATTCTTCTACTGCGGGCCGAAAATGTTTGATGGCGCAGTAATCTGCTAGCAGTTCGCTACCAAAAGCGCTATATCTCGTCTCCGTGGGAGTAAGGCGTCGTGAGTAAAACTCGAGGGGTTGTCAACTTCCGGAGATGTTCTGTTGCATAACGGCTCCTATAGAAAAATCAGATGCATCAACCGCTGTACGAAGTGTGGCTGATGGATCAGGATGAGACAGGAATGTGACTAGAGCCAGAGCCGTTTTGATTTCTGAAAATGCAGTACGTGCGGCATCGTTCAATTCTAATTAACGTGGATTATCGCAAAGTTAGTCGGTTAAGGGTCATAACCGTTCTGGTGCGTGTGGGATGAAAAGTCTGTAGAAGTTAACTAAACCAGGAAATGCCTTCAGTTCTTTGAGTGTGGATGATGTACTCCACTACTGCACGTACTTTGTCCTCGCAGGTTAAAATACCCTCCTGCTTAGTAACGTGACCTAAGAATTTTATTTCCTGTTTCCCAAGTTCACACTTGTCTGGCTGACTATTATTCCATTATCAGAAATGCGCTGGAATAGGAATATTAGCTTTTGATAATGTGCACTTACGTTTGATGCTGCGATTAGCAGGTCATTAATGTAGACGTGAAAAAAATCTAAGTCTCGTACTACGCTATCGACAAACCTTTGGAAAGTTTGATCAGCATTCCGTAATCCAAAGGGCACTCGTAGGAACTCAAACCGACCAAAAAAAGTCGTGATAGCGGTTTTATCGATTTCTTCAAGGGAAACTGGGATCTGATGATATACTCGTACAAGATCGATCCTAGGGAAAATAGTCGTGCCCTTGAATGATACCGTGAAGTCGTGTATGTGGGGGATCGGATAGCTATCAAAGCATGTAGCTACGTTTAATTCTCGATAGTCGCCACACGGTCTCTAACTAACCCCATACTTTTTGAGCACCATGAGAAGAGGTGAGGCCCAGGAACTGTAAGTAGAACGAATAATACCAGTAGCTAGTAAATTGTCAAACTCACTTTTAGCGAAAGCTAATTTGCTCGGTGCTAGTCGGCGAGGTTTCGCCTTGACTGGGGTTTCGCGGGTGACTATGTGGTGTACCACACAATTAATCATCGACGGGCTCTCCTCAAGTGGCTTAGATAATTTGCGGAATTTCTCGAATAAAGCATGGAATATATCGTCACACGAATGAAAGACGTCTTAGATTCAGTACGCGTTTGTTTGAGCTTTGAGGCCCACGAATTTGCTGTTCGACGAAGTATCGATTGGCTGCAGCGTACGTGAATCGACTAGCGATTTATTGTGCTGTAGGAAACTAATACTGAGTATGGCTGTGGGAACATCGGCAATCATGGACGACCACAGATACTGTCGTCGGCTGCCCAGGTTGTTCGTGAGCTGTCGTTTACCATTGGTAGAAATAACAGAGCCATTCGCGGCGCATAGTCGAAGCATCATGGCTTGTAAATTACTGTTACCAACAGGTACGACATAAACTTGGGCACCTGTATCTACTAAGTGCCTGGCTTTCGTGCGATAGTCGTGCACATAAAATAAGCGGTCAACCTGGGGCAAAGGACCGGCAAGCGGCCCCAGTTCATCACCGGCTCGTGGATTTCCCGCCTTGTACGAGCAGGGAGCTTGACAACGGTGGGTACCGGATCCGAAAGCACAGTGGAATCAGGACCAAACCGCATTCGCTTTCAAAGCCGCATTTTGGGGTGGTTTGGGAGATGCCTGCTTAGGGCGAGTTGTTACGGCTTTACGGGGGCGTGAACTGGTTCGAGGGACGTAGGGTTCTAGTATATTTGAACGGTCTGGAAATTTGAGACGGGTATGGCACGGTTACCCCTATCACCCTGAGCCGAAAAGCGACTAGCGTCGAGATCTGCGGTCGAGAGTGACGTTGAGGCAACTATATAGTTGTCTCGGGTGCAAATGCTTGCCAATATCTTATCTGCTGTGAGAGGGGTGTCCTCGAGCAAAACCGTGACGGTTGGTTGTATATTTGCTGGTAGTGATTCGAGCCATAATTTCCTAACTATTTCGGAATTGGCTGTTGTGGGTCCCGCTAAAGACTGCAGGCGGGTGAGGTGGTGACTTGGTCCCACAACCGTTCCTCCCTCGACGGGGGAAATGTTTAAGAATCGCCTCCTTGTGACGATCGTTAATGTTAGGCAGATTCAGGTTGAGGATAACCTCACGAACAGTAGCTATGTGATCCCCAGGTAGCGTTTCTTGAGCGTAAGCACTCTGCTTCCGTTGATTCGTTATGCGGCGGATCTCGTAGTGGGATTCCAGTGCCACGAACCAAACTTGCGGATCATGAGAAATAAATGAGATAGGTCGGATATTGGTGACCTGTACATCTGAGTCTATTATATTAATGCCACTCTTATAGTTATCCATCATATCAAGTTGTTGCTCGGATATTATATATTGAATAATATCAGTGCTAAAATGTGCAAAAAAAGTGGATAAATAGACAATAGACTCACTGTCTTCTTAGGGAATTTTTTCAGAGGTTGAAATGTGTTCACAGTTTGGAGTCACCAGATGTGGAGTGGAGTCCAGTTGCGGTTGACTATGACCACCACTACATGTAGACTACATGCCAACTACCAGTCTAGATCCCTCCGTAGATCGAATATCAGAGGGCAATTAAAAATTGCAGTAAGATGTATTTGTTAGCGATCTCGTGTTATCGAAATAATACCGAGATCGTGCCAAAGTTTACAAGCGGGACTACTGAGCGTACGCGAGTTCGTGCAAGGTCACAGACAATGGAAGAATGTGTGTTTTTAGTACATTTAAACGAACAGGTACAGCAAAACAATCACTGGTACAAGTGGTTATAATAATAATTGTTTCTATTATACCAATCGCATTCTCTTCATAAAAGTAGGCCACTACAGATTTATGGACTCATTGGTGGTTTTCTCGATTCAAGCATATAGCGGTAAATAAATCGCCGGAATCAGTAGCTCCGTAAGTCTTTTTTGTTGATACTTTCCCCATTAGTTTTAATAAACTCAACTAGATGAAGACGCACGGTCACACATCCGCACCAGATCACTAGTGGGCACTCCGTTCTTCACATCGCCCACAACCGCTAGCCAGCTCAGGTTGATTGCTTCTCAAAATATCGATAGCCTATCAAATATGTCTTCGAACCTATCCATATCTGACTTCTGATTTCACTGGGTTGGTGCGTTTCGATTATAAAGATGTTGCTGGTTAAGGCATTATCAAACTCGTATACCTACAATTTAATCTTTTGACAACTTTTAGTTCCATAGACTTTACTGCTTTTCAACAGATGTGCTCACCCAGATTAAGGTACACACAAACTTACAAATAATAGGCAGATTGGCTAGAAATAATGCAGTCGTGTGGCCAATAAATACGCATTATTTAATCTTTGGTATCTTGACCAATTATCCTTCTTTCCAGTTTGTCGCTACTTCTTCGTTCTGAATATTCTTCAAAGTAACGTGCAATATCCTTTGAGTTGTCTCTAAATCTGACTTCAGCGCTTAAGTAGGCTCTCTCGTTTTGGACATATTGGAATTGTAACCAGTAATTGAGGATTGATGTTACGAAGTAACTTTTAAGACGTGCGGTACTGCTAGGCATGCAGAGTGTCTTGTTCTTACTAAAGTGATATCTTAAGTGTTGGCATTTGACTTTACGCCTAGTTAAGTTCTCATTATATAGACGAAACAATGTAAATAATTATTTTTAAACTTTAATGGATTTTAGAAGCGTGAACCAAAACCTCGTACGATTATTGACATTTTCATCTAGGAAAATTTCGTCTTTAGTCAATTTGCAAATGTCGGATTCAGACTCATCATGCGTACGTTCTTATTGTCAATAGTTTTTGACAGCTTATAGGATGTTCAAGAAATCTTAGCCTGCCCTGGGTTGTATGAAGAAATTACACATGAAAAGAAACATGTGTATAATAAGGTAATTCTCGTTCTATATTTTTTTTTGTAGTTTCGAACTTTTAATAATAATGAGTTGTGCATTATGGTATACGGCACTAACGTTTGTAAATACTCTACGACTATGTTTAACGTAGTCGTCAACTTAGACAAATCCGAAAACTGGGAGACTTAACGAACTATTAATTCCATAGGGTCTGTGTAGTCGGTTGACTGTAAGTGGTTCTTTCCAAGTACTTGAAATATAGTGCTGGAATTCTCGGGCCTATAAATGCTCGCCAACTGAGAAGCCAGAAACTTTTTTTACAACCATTAAATGAAACAATAATCCGTCATCATACTAATGTGAATACATCCAACAAGAATGTTTCTTTAACGTCATGAGTAATCAAACAGCAAAGGTAGCTCTTCCGACATAGCGGTCGGTTCTTACAAGGATCCAATTTATTGAAATACCTGTTTTATACTATTCGTGGCAAATATTTTAGTGGATACCTTTGTTTGAGGACAAACGGAGCTATTTTAAAGACAGATACAGTTTACCTATTCCGAAAATCCGAACAGTTGGGGAGACCATTGTGAAGTATTTAGACTAATAATTATATGAGCTTGAAACAAATGTATCGCTGGACCTTTAAACGATAATTGGGAGACTTGTAGCACTAAATTAATTCTCGAATGATTCAAACCCTTGGTCAGAGATCTTAAGTATTACTTTTTTTCGGTCATTACAGTGTAAGTTCACTAACTATTTATCATCCTCCGGTTTTTAAACTTTGTTAAAGATTAACATTGCAATCTTCTGAAAATTGATTGGGAAACTCAGTGGTTTATTTATTTATTTATTTATTTCAACACATAAATATTGGTACAACGAGGCACCAAATACATATGCGCCACACAAATCTCATCCGATATGTGTGAGGGCTGTGATACTGCTCGGGTGCCCAAACCGAAGTAGGTGGTTTTCTTAGGGGGCCACTCCCCGAGCCTTCGACCTGAAGGTCTGATCCACAAGGTAGTGGAGCATCGTAAGGAGATGCAGTCCCATGGTAGCCGGTTACCGAAAGTTGGTTCATATGCCATTTGTTCCCGCAGGATACTGGAGCCCATGTGCACCATTGGTTTGGAATCCGGCTAAAGCGCCAGACATTCGCTTTTCGTCCTCTCGTTTTCGTAAACAACAGTAATGCCACGAGAAGGCAGTGAGTAGGACTTCCCTGGCAGAGGCTATATACGCGTGGCTATGTGAGAGCATTTCGAGAGGGAGAGCGGACTCTCCCCACTCTCGGCCGTACCAAGGCGTTTGTGGGCAAACTCAATGGTATTGATTACTTTATGACGACTCAAGTTCTCCTAGATACCCGCTCTCTTATCATGAGTAATATGGATGCATGTATGGAAAAGCAACTGAAGTATACCGACCGGTTACGTGTAAGGCCCTTACTGACCAAATCGAAATATGTTTTGGACTTATTCATGTTATGAACCACTCCCTAACACAATAGCAGACTGGAAGAACACTAATGCAATAAGACTAGGACTGTTGGTTAGAGCACATATTTGTCCCTGGGTCAAACCAGTGGTCAATATAAATGACTAAAATCTAGGTGATTCAACGTAAAACCTCTAGAGTTTCTACAAAATACCTAATTTTTGTTTTTCAAGCATTTAAGATTATTGCTATGCTCCACTTATTCTTCAGTTTACTTGTTTATTATTGATCTTTCGATTCGCAGTTGTTTGTCTCTTGATATCTTGATATAGTACTAATGAATCCTCGAACTAGTGTTTTCGGGTCGTTTTCCGAACCTCTTCAATTTCGAAAGTTAATATTCAGTTGGTATTGCTGGCCTTACTTTTCTTTGGTTATCTATTGGCCTGAACTAAGGAAAAAAAACTTCGGAGTTTATTTATTTGAACACATAAGTATTGGTACAAAGGAACACCGAATACATATGCGCTACATAAGTCACTTAGTTTGTGTGTGGGCTGTGATACTGCCCGGGTGCTCAGATCGAAGCAGGTGGTTTTCTTAGAGGGTCATACCTAAGGCCTTCGACCTAAAGATCTGATCCACAAGGCAGTAGAGCAACGTGAAGAGATTCAGTCTCATTGTAATCAGTTACCAATAATTGGTCCATATATTGTTTGTTTCCTCAGGATGCTGGAGTCCATGTGCATCAGTGGTTTGGAATAAAGTTTTTCCAACCCCCCTAGGTATTTTCTTATAAATCCCACGCTTCACATTTTGTTTACTCTTCCCTATATCAAAGAATTTCGAATTGTCAGTTCGTTCCACCCAAGTAATTCCAAGAAAACTGGTTAATGTATCTGACTTCCAGACAGATTGTGACTGAGCACAAGATTTTTTTTCTAATTTAGATTATTGGGTGATTATTTCAAAATTTTACTTCTTATTACAACGAACAATAATGACTATTTAATTTGTTAGTATAATTTTATTTTTCTTGCAAACTTCCTTTGTACTTGAACAGCCAGCTCTAATGAATACTCTCAACAGTATTCGAAAAAATCTCCCATGGATCGAGCGATTAGATGTCACATGTATGGCAGCTCCAGCTCAAAAAGATTTAGATTTGGATGACTTGCAACATATCGATCCAGATGATGATTTTAAACGTGAAAACTTTTTGTAAGTTCTATGGAGTTTACGAACAAACATTTTTCATTTTGAACTTAAAATTACATCTTTGAGATTCACCGTTTTAGGTTTAATTTACTTATTCATATCAATAATTTGGCTAGTTTCATAGATAACAATGAAGCAACAGTATCACATCAAGGCTTGAGGATAACTCTGGGGATTACTGTTAACATAACTGCAATGCTACTCATTGTCCATTGATATAATTAAATACACTAGCACCAAAGAACAGAATCGACACATGCTCCAAAGAATTTTGTCGAAATTCCATTTGTTGTGTTGTATTTAAACACATACATATGTGACTTGTAATTCTTGATTGTATGTAATCCACTGAAGTGCTTATTTTTAAGATTACACTCACAAATCTTCGGAAAAAGCATATAATGTCAACCACAAGCCAATATCTCTTGGGTTTTGAGATGGTGGAGAAGATTTGTAGCTCAGGTGGATGATTTTGGTGGAGTTTTGTTCTCTGAGCTGGATGGTTTGGTCGTGGAGCTTTCATCGTTCTTCTGAACGACATCATCAGCACAAACTTCAAATAGAAGTTCTATTTGAAGTTTGTGCTGATGATGTCGTTCAGAAGAACGATGAAAGCTCCACGACCAAACCATCCAGCTCAGAACAAAACTCCACCAAAATCTCTTGGGTTTACATTCACGTTCTCAGATAAATAAAATCAGCATTATCAATTAATTCTCTCAAAAGACATTATTTTTCATGTTTGCTATTGAAGGACGTTAGTTGTATACATATATTCAGTATCACTCCATTCCATCCTAATGATCTCCAGTCTTTTCTCTTGTATTTTCAATTTTTTGTACGGTTAACATACTTAACACTGCACTATTGATGATCTGTATTTTAATACATTTATTAATATCAGAATGGGTTTTGTGGAGAATTTACGAAATTTCACAGGTTTAAATCATGAGTCAGTTGAAGCTAGACCACCATTGATCGTGGATGCGCACTGCTGAGGAGTCCCATACCAGGACGAAACGGCCGTCCAGTTCTTCTAGGTTTTCAATGGTGGTCTAGCTTCAACTGACTCATGATTTAAACCTGTGACAATTATTAATCTATAATTCCAGTAAATAAATGCACCTGGATAGCATTACCCTCGATAGGTACTTCTCATACTTTCTCCCTTTTTAATTAAAATGAAATTGTAACTTTTCATATGTTTCGTAGCCTTCATATATCCCCTTATCTCTTTTATTTAGTTACCGTGTAGCTCAGGCAGCGGTGCTTATAGCTATACCTCAATTACATGCTTTAGATGTACCGACTAAACGACCATCTGATTACTTTGCAGAAATGGTCAAAACAGATGATCATATGACAAAGGTTAGTTTAATTGTTGCCATTTCGCAAATAACATAAAGTAGACGACATACAGCTGTACTGTTGGATTTCGTCTGTGGACAGAATATCTTACACCAAATTTAAATGAATCTTATAAATCTTGATAGTTTTGATAACGAAACGCATCCTTAGTTCAAGTCAAATATGTTGTTGGGCGGAACTGGTCATATCACTAATTAGTTGGATATTTTGTCAATAATATTTATCAAATTTTTATAATAACGGATTAGCTTGTCCTAACACGCGTGTTTCGCTATGAAACGAAATGCTTAAGTAGAATGTCGACATCACCGGTCAGATATTTACTCTGTTTTTTCAGTTTCTGTAGTTGACCCAAGTTTAAACATTCACTTGTGAAACTTCCACTGAAATCAGAACAGTTTAGTTCGTAATTTTGTGATCTTTTTTACATTGCCGTCCCATCCCTTCTATGATCATTGAGTCACCAATTTTTATTCAAGTATTAACCGACAGAAAAACAGTGGTGTCTAACATTGGGTTATTCATATCAAATTATGTTCCATGTATTAATTTATTCTAATTGGATGTGCATAGTTAAGTGATTGATGTATGACTGAATGGTTAGTATGCATATTGTTGGTGTTTTTAATAGGCAGTTATAAAATAGGTTGATTTTATAAATATTGATCTGTGGATGTTGTACTGGGTGATGATGTTTAAGGATAAAGTGTTTGTGGTTTATTAGTAAATGAACGAGTCGTTTATGTGAGTGGATGAAACAACGGCAAGGTTTGGGATGGGGTACTAGGTAAATTCGACAAATCAATCAATGAGGTAGTGAATTTTCACCAGCTAAGGTGGTTAATACACGTGTTGGTATGCCTATCTACCACACCTCAACCGGCGATGTTGTCTGATGTAGTGGTAGACTGCAAGAAATCTAGGGCTGGCCAAACTTAGGCGTGGCATCAGTCCATAAAATCAATGGCAATTTGATTGAGACATGTCAATAGGGGTTGACTACTTGGTTGGGGAGACGTTGGCTGATATGGTTCAGAATCGTTTACCCTGGCTCGAGTGCATTCAGTTGATGCTGATACTTTGTTTGTTTTATTGCGTTCTAACTGCTGGTATCTTATTACTAACTACTTGAACCCGTTAATCGAAATATACAAATCACAATAAAGACATGGTAGATAAAAATTTATTTGATGCTCAAGATAAATCAAATAACTTCCGAATACAGTTATATTTGTATGACTTACACCGATTTATGGTCAGATTTATATACATTAAATTGAATAGTACTTGATACTAATTAATGAAGGATTCACTGAGTAAGCATAGATGTACAATATTACATAACAACCGTCTGTGACCAACAGGCATAACCAACATGATAACTCTTTAAAATATGTATTGATATCATAGATGATTGAAAAGGAAATCAATACCATAGGCCATTGACACTTCAATGGAGTAAATCTTCGTTCATCATATCAGTTTGTTTAGGTTATAGCGATTGATAGATGTCTCCTGTTTAAAACGACCCCTGATTGTATTTCAATTACTGGTTTTACGAGACAGAGGTAGACTATAATTGTAATGGACTGTAAACATCTGAGTGCATTACTACACATTGTCTTCACTATGCAGCGTTTGCGATGGTGCTATATCAGTAACTACTAATCTTATCTCCTATTGTTGTAATTAGAGGTTGATAAATTTTGATGAATAATGCTAAAATTGATGTTAGTGATAACATTTACCATACTAACGCTTGATGTTGATCTCATGAAGCATCTACTGCTTCATGATTTCATTCAGTGGTATTTATTCATAGTGATATAAACTAAATGAAAGGTTAGGTAATAATCGTATTGCAGTTTGTTTGAAGTCAAGCTTAGTCAATATGATTGAATTTTTTTTACTTCAGAGTTACAAATCTTTTCGGCAAAACATTAATGCGTAGTCTGTTTAGCAAATATGTGAAATTGATATAATAAAATCTTCATTTTAGATATATTCCTAGAAGTGTTTGGAAGCCAGATTTAGACTGCTTGGTTAACTTTTTCACATTTTTTTTCAATCTTAAATATTTCGCTAAAACTGAATGCACAATGGATTTCTCCAATTCTTGTCATTTGTTAGTCGTACAAACAGTAAATTGTTGATTGGATGGCATAAAAAGACTGCTCACGTTTGATGTCTCCATAAATTCAAGAGATTGATAGTCATCCTGGTTTCTCATCGTACAATCCGCGCTAAAATACTTTAAACACTTGAAGAGTTATTTCCTCTATTTTTTCATCTCTATAAACAACCTTCCAGCATATCTTTAATTCCCTGGCAGTTTTCCGCGAATACCACGTAAAATTGGACTATCTCTATTTGCTTGTTTATTGAATAAGCCATGTTATTCTAAATCCCATCTTGTTTAAACTTTGATTGATCATTGTCGAACGCGTTGACAACTTCACTTATCTTGGAAGTCTGATCAGCCCAAATGGGTTGGTGTCTGACGAAATCTCAACACGGATTCGAAAAGCTCGCTTGGCTTTTGCCAACTTACGTCACCTATGGCGAAGGCGAGATATCCGTCTATCAATAAAAGGACGAGTATACTGCGCGGCAGTCCGTTCTGTTTTAATTTACGGCAGCGAAACATGGCCATTAAGAATAGAAGACACTCGTAAGCTACTAGTATTTGACCACAGATGCCTTAGAAATATTGCTGGCGTCTGCTGAGATCACCAGGTAAGTAATAGTGAGGTTAGACGCAGAGTATTAGGGAATGATGGTAAATCAGTTGATGAGGTTGTGAATCTTCATCGACTGAGATGGTTGGGCCACGTGTTACGTATGCCTGAACACCGATCACCACAACGTGTAATGCTAACCGGTGTTCGGGATGGTTGGAAGAAAGTTAGAGGTGGCCAAACTAAAACGTGGCATCAGTGCTTGAAGTCACTAACTTCTAGTCTGAGCCATGTTGGTAGATGCAGACTACTTGGTTGGGGCCCGCGTGACTATCGTAACCAATGGTTGTAGACTGTGTGACATGGCTCAGAATCGATCGCAACGGTGTCGGTGTATACACTCTCTGTCTTCCCTTAAACTAAGAGATTAAAATCGCTTCATATCTTTCTTTCTACCAACTAATTCTTTCTTCCTGTATTATATCCTTATGCTCAATCTTTCTTTTATATATTACCACCTCTGAATTAAATACTTTTATGAATCCGGTGTCCATGTTGTTGTGTTAATGAGGTATGGCAACTTGGACCGACGCATTATATGTGCCTGGTCCTACGTTGTAGTTGACTGTCTGACTGATCAACCAAGCATAAAAATCTTTACATATTTCTTTAAATTTTACGTATTAATTTGTGTTTAATTGCATAGGTTAAAAAATATCTAATTGAAATTAAACAAAAGTTAGCATTACGTGAACGTGCTAGACAAATAAGAGAACGACGTAAATTTGGTAAACAAGTTCAACAGGCTGTTAATCAAACACGTAAAGAAGTAAAACGTAAACTGACGGAAGCTGTAAAGAATACGTGGAAAAAAACTGGTAAAAAAAACATTGTGTTTAGTGTTATTCTCTTTTTATCAATTTTCTTCTAGTACAAGCCATAGGGTCGAGGAATTACACTGGTTTACAAGTACAAGTAATAGTGGGAATGCAAATATAAGAATTGGCTACCCAATTACAACGGTTCAGACGGAGCCAATTTCTCCAATTATAACAGATTTATACTTTATTCACTGATATTTCTCACTTGATCGATAGCTAATTGATAGCTATTTCGTCGTAATATGAGACTCCTCGACTGTGCACTCATAACTGGTGGAGTTCAGTTGTCATTAATAACACTGGGTAGTTATCGCGCTATATCTGAAATTGTTCATTTGAACGTTGACGCAGTGTTCGTAATCGTCAAGCTTTTGCCATGAGATCCGAAATGCTTAAGTTTAGTTCCTGGTAGATGTTGTATGTATGTATCGCTAAGGAGTAACATACTAAGACCGAACGGCTATTCAGAGCCCCTTGGAGTTTAGTATTACCCTAAGTAAGACTAATCTGTGACAATTACAACTTACAAACTAAATCGTTTTTCATATGATCACTTCAACTGGTTAAATTGTCAATTGTTTATGCAAACTTATTTTTTTGACTGTGATTATATGAACTATATTATCTTTATGACTGATTAACTTAACTGTGTAGATTTCGAGTTCTGTGATTTGGATAGTTTAATTGACCGATGTTTTGAACAACAATATTATGGCTTACTTCTACTAGATTCGAGCTTATTAAAGTCTTTGCTTTTTTACTTTATTCTTTGTTAAATTCATCGACTGTCTCAAATGAACAAGAATGTTACATACTAGATAACAGATATTTAGATTATTCAAAACTCCATTATAAAATCTCATAGATCTCCATTGTGGACAGAAGGTTTTTTAATAACCATGTCGACAGAAAACTCTCCGATTGTGGTACATATGTATTCATCGAAGCGCCCTTCAATCCCGTCAGATACATCGTAATAATTGTATTTATTTATTATTATTATTAGTGGCTTTATTCAGTACTATATTTTTGGTACAATATAGGATTCTCAGCACAAAGAATTTAAACAAATTTCCTATTTCTTATTTCTTGATCAATTCTGACCATAAATATTGAGTGATGATTGCCAATTAGATGTTAGCAGTCCAGTCAATCGACATCGAAATAATGTATATTCTTTTCGCTGTACATTGCCAACAACCACGATGTCTCTAGTTGGGTCTTTTGTAACTGGTACAGCGTAGATGGACTGGCCGAGTGGCCCAAGGCGCTGTTTTGAAGCACCAGTCGGAAAGGACGTGGGTTCGAATCCAGCCCCCAAATATCCTGGAGAGAGTCAACTCTCCCTCTCGACATGCTCTCACATAGCCACGTGCATACAACCACTACCACAGAAGTCCTACCCCCTACTTTCACGCACTAGGGATGTTTCTTTCGAAATTGGGAGGACGGAAAGCGAATGCCCGACGCTCTAACCGGGTTGGTGGACATGGAGAGTCCACCTAGGGGATTCGGAAAACCCCGGTTCTAAACCAATGGTGTACATGAGCTCCACGATCCTAAGGAAGCAAATGGCGTATGAACCTATTGTTGACGACCGACTACCATGGGACTGTATCTCCTGACGCTGCTTCATTGCCTTGCGGATTAGACCTTTAAATCAAAGGCTCCGGGTGTTACCCCCTCAGAAAACCACCTGTTTTGGTTTGGGCACCCTTGCAGTATCCCAACCCTCCCATAAATCGGATGATTTATGTGGCGCATATCTATTTGATACCTTCTTGTGCCCATGTTTGTGTTTAAATTAATAAACTGGTACAGCGAAATGTAAACTTTTCAGAAACGTACCTCAATAGGTTATACAATTAATTGACATAATGATCTGTTAAAGCAAACAAGGAAACATATAACTTGTTGCAATATCTAGATAGCAGTAACCGACCATATGAACTTATCTTTTAAAAGGTTATCTCTTTTCTTCTCATTTGCATATACATAGTACTTTTTATGAACCGTTTTATTTTCATTAATATCCTCATTGTTTATTTATAATGATAGGAATTAATCGTGAAGAAAAACTAGAACATATATTAAATGAATTTAAAAAAGATTATGAACCGAAAAATGATAAGTCCAACATGAAAACATCATCATCAAAGAGTTTTCATACAGCAAAAGATTATGCAAATCGACGAAAGTAAACAAGTGTTTTCTTTATCTTAAGATTTTTTTCTTTATCATGTTAGATTATGTTAGCAGAAAGATAACAGTGACTAGTGGAGTTCAACTGGGTCGGTTGTGAGATAGTAACTCACTGAGGACAATGATGGATGTATCGCTCAATCTTGTAGACTCGTTAAAGTTTATACATGAACACCTTTGGATGCCGTCCAGCTCAGTGGTTTAATTGTTAAGCGCTTGCGCGCGAGACTGATAGGTCCTGAGTTCGCATCATGCGAGGCGGGATCGTGGATGAGTACTGCTGAGGCGTCCCACAATAGGACGAAACGGCCGTCCAGCTGAATTCATGAGTTAATTAAAACTAGACCACCATGAAAAACTTGGAAGCACTGGACGGCCGTGTCGTCCTGTTGCAGGACTCCTCAGCAGTGTGCACCGGCTTCATGCATTCAACTATTTAATCGTTATCTTTCTGCTGACATAATCTATCAGGACAGATTAGAAAATTAAAGATAACGGTTATTGCTGGTGCATAATAACTATTTAAAATGTAAGAAAAATTCTCTAAATCTAAACAAAATTTCCATGTTTACCTGTTATCGATTATTATAATGTGCAATTACCAGAGACAAATATCATTTACCAGCGTTGGGTACCACAACAGACAATATAAACAATGGTAGCAATATATAGCAGTCGAATGGTGCTTCATTTACCGTAACTTCAACTTGACAAGTCCAGAAACAACAGTCAACTCTTTACACAAACGAGTATGAACAATGACCTGTTCAGTATGACCAGATAGATAATAAGTATACTAACTGATGGTGAGAGTACATTTTAATTAACCAGTGAAAAATGATGGTCTAACATCGATTGGTTCATGATCATAATCAAAAACTCAACAATCTCCACAACCTCATACTGAAAAATATACTATAAGAGAGTAGTTGCTCACAAGTAAATGCACTTATTTGTCTGAATGTTGATGATCATTTTCAAAAGGAGGATGACCAGAGTCATATTTTTACATTCGTATAAGCGACGAAAGTCTTCGCAAGATACTCAGCATACATTGGCCAGATACCTCATCAACAGCATTCTGGGGGGGGGAAGAACAAACCAGCTTCCAGAAGACGTTGAAAGTGGATAGGACATACATTACGGACATTACCAAACTGCATCACGAGACAAGCGCTAACTTGGAATCCTGGAGGGAGGTAGAAAAGAGAAAGGCCAAAGAACGCATTACGTCGGGAAATAGAAGCAAATATAAAAAGGATGAATAACAACTGAAAAAGATCGCCCAAGACAGGGTTGGATGGAGAATGCTGGTGGACGGCCTATGCTTGCTCCTTCACGAGGAGCAGTAACAGGCGTGACTACGATATTCAGAGAAAAGATATTTTCCAATAAAAAAGAAACTGTTCCTGTCTTTTATATTATTTTATATTTTATACGTTTTGTTTTGTTTTTGATTTTAGGATTAATCAAAAACGTGTTTATAAAAATAATAAATATGGCCATGGTGGACAAAAAAAGCGTCAGAAACGTAATACATCTGAATCAGTAAATATTGGAACACGATGTGATTTCAGTCAATTAAAACATCAAGCTACACCAAAGAAAGCTAAAGAAATTCGTTTAAATTATCGTAAATTAAAACAAAAACGTAAGAAAATGACAAAAAAACGTATTTCAAACATATGAACTTGTATATTTCACATTTATAAGAATTTTATATAAATGAAATGTGTATTCAACTTATTCTTTTATTCTTTGAAATATTGAAAACATGAAGTTCAATGAAGGGATCTCTTTTGAATGAATTCATTATCAAACTGTTAAAGTACTAGTTTCAATAAGGATATATGAATAAGGAAGAATCATGATGATGTAATAGAAAGATTACAATACTAGATTATGTAATAAGAACAATGACAATAAGTCAGTAATGAATTATAATATATAACCTTTAATTATTGTAACAAAAATATTTTAAGTCCTGGTTTCTAATCCCCTGAATGGGATCGTGGATGTGCACTGCTGAGGAGTACCACACTAGGAAAAAACGGCCGTCCAGTGCTTCCAAGTTTTCTATGGTGGTCTAGCTTCAATTAACTCATGATCTCAACTATTGAAAGACATTTTGATCATTTTACAATATTCACATTATAATTCTTTACTGACTTATTGTCATTATTCTTATTGCGTAATTTAGTGTTGTGATCTTTCTATTACATCATCATGATTATTCCTTGTTCATATGTTCTTATTGGAACTAGTACTTTAACAGTTTGATAAAGGTAATAAAGGTGTGAAAAATAAATGAAGTGATATCATGAACAATAATGAATAAAATCATGTGAATGTGAGATAAGTGAAGACAGAAATGCAATAATAATGATAATAATAGTAATAATAATAAAGGTCAAGCTTGTACTTCTTTTGTACGCACAATTTTTAGCTTGAGATCATGGATAATAAAAGCTTCTGCTATCTTAAAGAGTTGGATACGAAGAATTCTAGGTAGATTTGGATGAATCGCATACACAACCTTAAAACCAATCTGTGGATCAGTAGAATAATTAGAGTCGATTAAATGTTCAAGAGTGGAACTTTATCTGCTTCCCTATCACCCTTTTAGAACCACATTCGGACATGTTCTGGTATCTGAGTTGAAAGTGAGCGTTGCGTACGGCCAATGTACCTTGCTTCACAAGAGCAGGTGAATTGGTAGATGCACATGTAGGCGACCAGACGGAAAAACTTATCTTTTATGGATGCAGAAAAAAGTCCTTACTAGCGAATGTTATTCGCAGTTTTGTTAAATAGAATGTTATTTTTATCGCTGCCATTAACCGATTTTTAGTTATATCACATATTCGGTTACCTTTGAATTCCAGATTTATGTAAAGGTATTTCTTTGAAATGGAAAAACCGGACTCCTTGTCGCTACATCCACTCATATTTTTCTCTATGAAGCGGATCGGATAGCCGCTTTTCTGAGGAATGCAAGATCTTCGTCAGTACATTCTGTACTACACATCCGTTGTATTCGGTAGCAAGTGAATGATATTTCTCTTCCTGCTTAGAAGGACCAAGCTATAGAAGTTGGTCAGCTAACCATTCCATGTTTGTTTTCTAAAAATGGATCTTTTTGAGGAACAACCAATCCTTCTCGTCAGACGCACATCGAGAAGAGATTGGTTGACCTGCCTCTTTATCTAACGTGGCATGAGTTAGAGTGTAAACTAACTGTTAATTCAATATTGTCACAAATGTGTCGTCCATGTATCTTACATATAGACTAAATCGAACTAAGTTGGTTGTTTTTCAGTTTCGCCATAAAACAGTCTGCCAATATTGGACCCAATAGAGTCCCTATCTCTATGTCCATATATTTTATTGTTGAAACAGAACTGGGCATTAAAGGTGCAGTGTAGCAATAGTTCTTTCAAGTGGTCAGTCGGTAGGCCTATATCTATGTTGTTATGATCAATATACTCACATAAATAGCATGTAATTTCAGTTAAAGGTATACAAGTGAACAGAACTAACGTTAAGTGGGAACATGAGTTTCCCAGAAGTGTTAACATCATTAATACTATCAATAAATTGAAAGATATCATGAACAGAATATTTAGATACTTGCCTTCTAATTGGTCTCCATCTTCAGCCAACCATTTGGGGATTCGGTGAATTCGATATATCCAAAATAAATCGTAACGGTAAACCAAGTTTATGTACTTTCGATAATCCATATAAGCGCGGGACGTTCAGACCTATTCGACGTATATGACTATATAAGTCTGGGGTGATTATCCCTTTGTTCAGATTTTTAACATCAGTTGGCTGTTTTTCAATTCGCGGTGTTTCGTTTGCTTTGTCGTAATTCGTTACTAATTAAGTCTATTGTTATTGTCCTTATTATGTAATCCTTCTATTACATCATCATGGCTTAATATCATATGACAGTCTGCTAAAGTTGAGTATAAACAATAGTCCATATGTAAGGTGGTTGGATGTAGTTGGTGGGAGAGTCTGCTTCATCAAGTTGTCGTACTACCTAACATTTATCAGCAAGGCACAACTAAAACCACGAAGAAACGAATGATTCTTCGTGGGATCCGAACCAGCATCACAATCTGAGACATCTTCCACGAGCTGTCTGGGCCGTGACTGAACTGTAGGACTGAGATGTTTATAGCTGACTAGTGACTAATGACATGTTTATCTAGACCTTATTACTGATCGAATTCTATCTGCTAAGTTGTGATGTGCGAACTAAATATTCGATAATGTGTACACTACTTTTTGGTGCTGAATGTTGTTGACAGGAAATCTTAAATTTAGGCTTTTCGCTGGTTGATATTCGTCAACAAAGTGTATCTACAATCTTGATTTTCAACCACTAATATTGAAAATGCTCCATTTACTTCTATTTAGGTAGTTCCGTGTTATAATTAGGCAAATAAATGAAAATGTGAAACTTTGGATGCTATTCTCCATTAAATCAGCGATTGTCAATGCATAGTTAGTAAAATGTTAACCCATATTATTCTAATGTCCTAATCGTAAGCTTCCTTTATTCCTCAATCAGAAATTATTGTTTACTAATTGTAAAGTACTAGTTAGGTTCATATAAAAAAAGATCTTAATTATGTACATGTTACGACTGACTGAACTAGTGCTGAATGTATATATGAATATCTTCCCTTAAACTTTGAGATTCTTTCTACGAACTAATTCTTTCCTCTTATACTATATCTTTATATGCAATCTTTCTTTTATATATTACCACTATTGAATTAAGTACTTCTATGAATTCGGTGTTCATCTTATTATGCTAATGAGGTATGGCAACTTGGATCGATGCATATATGTTCCTGGTCTTGCGTTGTAGCTGACTAGATTGACTAATATGCATCTGAAGTGTGATAATAACAAGAGAATAGTTCAATGCGCTGATCTTCCATGATTTGGGGTTATTAATCGTTTTAGCTTATAAATGAACTACAATAGAGAAGTTAATAGTTAGTAGGATATACAAAGAGATTAAATCATAACATTATGCATGTACCAATAGTCTATACGCTTCAGGATCAAAAATAAAGAAATTCCATTAATTCTTTTAATTTTCAATGTACAAAAAAGATTAAACAAAGATTTATACAATGGTGAATTGTTAATTATTTGTCAATTAAGCTGAACGTATTATAATCGAAGTTATCTGTTACTTTTTTAAGAAGCAAGAACATAAAAATGATGTAGATAAATGTTGAACAACCAAGTGTCTGATTGGGAAAACGATCCTGGAATAGTAGATCCTATAGGATACGTGAAAATCTTGGATATATCTACAGATGACAAAAAGATTGGGAAAAAACATCTGGTAATGTAGCTTTATGCATTTCTATTATGTTGTAAGGAATTTAATAAAAACTTGGATTCAACATTCCATTCCATGGATTAGAACTTTAAATAGTGCTTCAAGTGATCTGTGGTCTATACACTAGTGACAACCTAGTTAAAAAACATTCTGTTTTTTTACTTATTTTATTTAAACACATAAACATGGATACAAGACGGTGTCAAATAGATATGCGCCACATAAATCATTCGATTTATGGGAGGGCTGGGTTACTGCCCGAGTGCCTAGACCGAAGCAGGTGGTTTTCTTATTGGGCCACACCCGGAACCTTCGACCTGAAGGCAGTGGAGCAACGCCAGGAGATGCAGTCCCATGGTAGTCGGTGACCATCAATAGGTTCATACGCCATTTGTTCCTTCAGGATACTGGGGTCCATGTACACCATTAGGTTGGAATCAGGGTTTTCCAACTCCCATAGTTGGATCCTCCATATCCACCAACCCGATTAGAGCGTCGGGCATCCGCTTTTCGTCCTCCCAGTTTCGTAAACAACAGCAATACCACGAGAAGGCAGTGAGTATGACTTCCTTGGCTGTATACGCGTGGCCAAGTGAGAGCACTTTGAGAGGGAGAGTTGACTCGCCCCACTCTCGGTCGTACCAGGGCATTTGAAGACCAGTTGGAAAGGAATAAAATACAACAGAAAACTGAGATGCTTGTTGGTAGTATTCAGAATACTTTTACCTATGCTGAAATTGTATTATACCTATCATATGGAAGATATTTTGATTGGGAAATTTTTTGAAATCGTCCTTTATTTAAACCTTTTGTTCTACATTTCGAAAGACTAATTACATAATGCAAAAACTCTACCTAGTCTGAATTACTGTTTCCTTATTAAGGACATTTATTTGTTTAAATTACTTTTATTTTAACAATCCTACTTACACTAGAGATGACGACAAATTTAGTGCAATATTCGAATATATCCCATCATAGTACTGAAGATATTATACTCCAAATACGCAAGTAACGTTTTTTAGTGTTGCGCTGGTGGTCACAAGTGTAACCTAGTCTGTCTGAGTCTTAGATTCCTACTGGGAAATAAAAGAAATTCCAATAGACTCTTATGCCAACTGATATGTAGTAGGTAAAGTTAATGTGATTAGTGACTAAGTGAGGACAAAAAGTCACTCAACTAAATAAGCATTAAATATCTGATACCCTTTCATATTATTTATATTTACTACGAACTAACTTGTGATTATGCAGGATAAAGTATTGTCACACAATACTCCAATTTTCTATTTTCGGTCGTAAACCATGGATCTGATATACTATAATTTCATCTATGTAATGAGTACCGTTCAAGTATCCGATTTAGTGA